GAGAGAGAGAAAATAATTCTATTCTAATCTTATCTTCAGAGTTACAACTGAACTTTTGTTTCTACCTTGATGATAGTGTGATAATAATAATAATAGTAATGATGATGATACTTTATTTACAAGGATTGTCCATTTAGATATGATAAACACTGGACTGGTCACTTGAAACATTCACTGGACATTATCATCATGTGTAACTTGAGAAAACAACAATTCCCATTGTAAAAACATGGCGACACACAAATTTAACTGTTCATCATCATGAATAAAGTTCATCCCTTTTATTCACAAATTAAACTTCAACTTTCATCCATTGTTCAGTTCAGTTGTTCATCATCATCATCATCAGGATAGTATCATGATTAAGATGAAAACGGAAGCTAAATGTTAATGTTTACACTTTCATACTTATTAGCTGGTTAACATTTTGCTTGGGTGATTTTTTCCAAGTTACCATGATGATGATGATTCTTGAATTCATCATCATGAAATAAACAACAAAAGGAGAATAAGAAAAAAACAATTGAATCTGCAAATGATTCCTAAGTGTGTAACATGATGATGATGATGACAAATAATAGAAATGAGTAAACGCCCGAGGAAGAGAAACATTTCGTTAAGAAAATTGATGATGAAAGAGAAAAGAAAAATAAAACTGATGATCTTTTCATCTTTTCCTATCATCATCATCATCATCATCATCATTATCTTTTTAATCTTTTAGCTGAAAAAAATTCAGTGTCCAAAGTATAAGAACATGATAATATGATTATCATGTTCTAACTGTAATTGGGAAACAATCAGACAGAATTGATCATTTTCCTATTAATCCAATATCATTGAGACAATGATGAGTAAGTTAAATTGCTTTGATTTCTCATCATTGATCATCCAAAAGGTAAGATGATAAAAAGATGAGGATGATAACTATTAGAGGAAATGAAAAAATTGTTTACTTTTTTATTTATCTTCTCTCCATCCTTTGTAATTATCTTCCCTTGTTAACCTTGATAATCTTCATCATCGTCATCATGTAGACATGAGATGATGATGATTTAGAAGCCAATTAAATGGTTTCTATTGAATTTATATCAATTGTTACTTAATTGTTTTCATCTTCAATTATAATGATGTTGATCAAATGTTTCTAATTAATTAGGAAAAGCTGAAAGTTAACAGTAAATTTAATTGCTAACAAATTACATTGTATCAAATTCAAAGATTCCTGATCAAGTTGAGCCTTTTTTTTTCATGAGGATTCCTCCTTTTGAGATTGGACTAGTTTTCTAGTTGAATTTATTATCTTTATCATGATCATCATGGTGATGAGTAAAAATATCATGTCTCTCATGAACTTTTATCGTACTGATGATTACGATTCATCTTTCCAATACTCAAAGGCTTCAGGGGGATGATTATTATTATTTCTTGTTTTGGTTAATGAGCCATTGAGTTATCATGTTACTTGTTATTCATGCATATATATGGCTGAGAGTTCCAACCAGAATCTATGAATATATATTCCATATCAGAATCGAGCAATTTTCATGGTTAGTATTTTGTTTTTTATCCTCATTCTTTCATGAATAAATCATCAACCATCATTTTCAATCAATGTTCAGGTAAGAAAATGTTTTAACAACGAAAAGTCCTCAACATTTATCAGAATTTTATTTCGTAACGATTTTTATTTAAATTTTTTCCATATTCCAATCTCATCTATCTTTCATGAGCTTCAGATTCAGACTTACAAACTGTTCATTTGTAAATTAATTATCATTGAAAAGATGGAGATGATTATTACCAACACTTAGATAAATGACTTTTGATCAGCATTTTCAAATTGAATTACAAAACACAATTAACTTTCATTGTTATCATCAAGGTCTATAGAGTTTCAATTCAGGTAGATGATGATTCTGATGATGATGATTAGGAAGATGAATGAAAAGATGAGGGGTAAAAAAGAAGGGTGAAGATTTTGGGATGAAGATGATGAAAAAAAAGAGGAGGAAGAAAAAAAGAAACGGAAATAAGATAATTAATAGAGATTGAATGAATCGCCTGGATGAACATTATGAGCTTTTTGCTGTTTCATTCATGATAACAATGAGAAAGATGAGAAAGATTGAAGATGATGAAAATTGGAAGAGAAAAAAAATCTCTCAGGCAAGAATTTATTCTAAGGATGCAAATAGACAAATCTAAAGGTAAGTTTTATATATGTGAGCAAGAGAGAGAGAGAGAGAGAGAGAGAGAGAGAGAGATGACAAGAGGATGAGAAGATGAAAAGGTGAATAAAAAGACGATTCTTAGAATGAGCATCTTTCCAATTCTCTCAAGGGTAAAACCAAAAGAAACTTTCAACTCAACACCTTCCATTACTCAGAGAATTTAGAAAAAAAGTTCTCTTCCCTGTTTCCATGACGAATTCATGACAATTCATGATTATTTCAATCATCATCATGAGTCACTAATGATCATCATGTTTAACACATGATGAATCTCTGTGAATACCTTTGAGCGATATAATATTATAATCCATTATTTCATTGGAAATTCAATTGATCAACAGAATCATTTACATGAAGATGAAGATTCAGTTCATTATTTTCAATTGAATAATAACATTAGTTTCAAGTAGCTAATGAATTTTTCCTCAAAAGTGTCATCATGATGATGAATAATGACAATCGAAAATCATTATCTCTAGACTCTTGTTAGCCTTCAACTAATCGATTGGCCTGAAATTTGACAGTTATTCAAGGTCATTCTTTGAAAACAATATTTACATGGGGAAACTTTTTCGTCTCGAAATGTTCAATCATTAATTTCAAAGCTCGAAAAATTGTTCATGGACATTTATGGTTGATTAATTTTTCTGTCCAACAATTGAAAGGGTAAAAGATAAATACAACTTACTATTGTTACATGATTTCGAGATAAAAGTTCAGAAGCTGAATCGTTATCCCAACATGATGATGGCGATGAGAAGCAAAAATCAACGAAAAACTAAAGGAAAAATGATGTTACCAGAATTGATTCATCTTCTCATCTTTTCATTTATCCTCATCTTCATCTTCATCATCTTATAACCCAATTTGATTGTGATTATCATTAAATTTACCATTCAAATTGTTAACCTGAAACCAAAAACAATTGATCATCATTTAAATGTCATCAACTGAATCTCAAAGATCCGCATCACTTTTAGCATCATTTGTATCAGTTTTTGCTTGTTATTTATACAAAATAATATCTTTTTAACTTTATATATTTTCATCTTCATCTTCATGATAGAAACAAATAATAACAACAAGATTAGTGGAATCATTTCCCAAGGGAATCGAGGTCATCCTGTGAATGAATATATATCTTTTCAGTTCCGAATGAACTTTTTGCCTTCATCATTATATTGACTTCCTTCATGTAGCATCCTATTTATTTCCAATGGGAATTGCAAAGTGATGAAGATGCTCATGATGAGGAGAAAGAAGAACAAAAAAGTTTCTCTCTCTCTCTCTCGATGATTTAACAATATGAAACTCAGCTGAAAATAATAATCTTCATGATGATAATATTATTAATGATCATGAATGTTAATCATCTTAGAAACAATAAGTTGATTCCAGGAAAAGAAGTGGGAAAAAAATTGTACAACATTTGATACTAAATGATTACAATGTTTTCTTTTGATTGTTGTTATTTAATTTAACTATGAGAAACAAAATTGAAAACAATTAAGAAAGACAAATGAATTTACAATTAACTAAAACTTTTAATTGCAAATTTTTGACTTCTAATTGTGATTCAAATTGTAATAAACAATCAACTTCAATTTGGTGAAGTGACAGAAAAATTTTCACCAAACTCAGAAATTCTGAAGTATGAAGAGTGGAAAAAGTATATCACCATCAACTCTTATATAAGAAGATGAAGATGGATGATGGAAGAGAGAGAGAGAGAGAGAGAGAGAGAGAATTTTGAAAATTCATGAAAGTTTTTCTCTTTTCCTTTTTTGAGAATCTTCATCATCTCCTTACCTTTATCATCTTCATCTTCACCTTTTCCGTGATGGTAAAAACGATTTGTCTTCATTTTAATCATCCCTTTCCTCCCCCAAGGTGATTTCCAACTCATCATCATGGTGATGAGGATGTAAAACTCACTACTAACATGATGAATAAGTCAATTCGTAACCATAGAAACGCGAGAAAAAAAATTGAACAAAAACTTTTATTCGTTTCACTAAAACTCTCGTTGATTGAACTCGAAACTTTTGAAAAATGTGTAAAACTAATTAAAAATACTCAACAATTGACACACAATTAACTTGAAACAATATAATTAACACATACCATGGTAATAGATGATGATGTTTCAACAAAGTTTAAAGTTGACTTTACAATTACCAATCACAACAATTAACATTGATTATCATCACAATCATAATCATTATCAATACCTCTAGGGAAAGTTAATCAAGATAATAGAGGGAGATGATGTTGGTATCTAATCAGCATTGAGATTTATGAATAATACTGGAAAAAGTCATCATCATGATATAATTATTGAACTTGTCAGGGAAAATGAAAAGTTTATCTATTCAGTTGAAATTAACCATGAAACTGAAACTATTATCATGATACAGATTTTAGTATTCATTGTGATCAAGATTATGTTGATGATGATGATGATGATGATGATGATAACTGTTCATTATGTTTTTTTATTGTTATTTCCATGGTGATAATGATGATGACATGATATTATCTTTCAGAATTTCGTGAATTATCATGAATCAGAATCAGAGAGATGAAAAATATATCATCACAATTAACTTTTCACTAATGATTTTCAATGTTATTATCATTTAATGGGGACAATTATTTTTATCTTTGCATAAGAAAAAAATGATCAACTAATTAACTTTAAATCTTAATCAGTTTGTGTTTCAGACAATTAGTAATATAAGAGAGAGTTAATTTTTTGTGAATTACCTTTAGTTTATTTTGACGATTTGATTTAGACCCTTTCAAGTGATTAGTTAATTCAGTTATCTCTTCATATTGATGAGATATCAAGTAAGGTTTAATCTCGTCATCATTATTATACAAGAAATCCTTTTGTTTATGGTCAGTTTAAGTGGTCAGTTGGTTGTTAGTAGCCAAAAGATTTTTAATTAGTGTTAGTTGATTAAAGACAGAGAAAGAGACAAAGATAGAAAAAGTTAATTAAGATCCAAATTTCCTTATGATTAAGTTAATCGAAAGGTTAATCCCACTGAAATGGGATTAAAGAGATTAGCAATCAAATGATGCAATAGTTAAATAGTAACAACAATACAAATGTTCATTCAATGATCAGGTAATTGCTGGAATTGGGTAACAATTAAAACATGATAATAATGATACTTAAATTTGATCAAGCAGTTTTTCAATTGCAACAAATCAACGAAATGATAATGATTGGAAAGTAAAATTAAATTAATTGCTTGTGGGATTGGATTGATAATGTTTTCTGTTTGCAATGATTTAGAGGGATTTTAATTGTTAATTGTTGTTAATCAACTTACCCTCCGGTGGAAAGGCATATTTTCATACATATCCTTGGCTGTTGATATTCCGGATGATGGACTGTGTTGATTGTTATCACTTTGATCACTATTAGCACCTAAATCACTTTCATTGTTATCATTGATTATCAGATTATCACCATTGGGCAATTTAGGTGTTGACTCTAATTGTTGATGATTTGATTGATTGTGGTGAGTATTAACTGCGTTAGCTGATTGAACCGAATCAGAAAGATAATTGTGATGATTAACACTCGGAATTACATCTACATTTAAGGGTAAGAATCCTGTGAACAATTAACAACAATCAATTGCGATTTTATTTTAGTTTAAAGATTAATATTCTTATGCTTGGGAATTGATGGGATTTTATATGAGTTATACTTCAGTTAAATTGATTATTTAATTTAATTATTATCCTAATTGCAAGACATTGATACTTTCTGATTTTCTAGGTGTGGGTCAAAGGCTGGATTAAGGATTAATTGATTAGTGAGGTGGATTAAGTTAATTGTTAATCTTACCAAAGACTCGATCATGTCTTTTAAGGCGATAATTTGATTCCGAAAGGTATTTAATAGCTTTAATTGTCATTTGGTAGCAATTAAGGGTTTAATTAGCGAAAAGCAAGTGATTAGTATTGTTAATTAGCGTAAATTGTTGAGAGTTCAAGTTAAATTGTTAGCAAGCAATTTAAAAGCATAGAAAAGTTTTCAAAAGTTTTCAATGTTGATTTTTTGATTTCATTGGAAACTTAATTAATCATTTAATTACATTTAATTGTTTACCTTTGTTTGAAGGCACATGACTGATGTAAGATGATGGAGTTGAGGTTCGGTCACTTTCAGGTCTTAATTGTTGTTAATTGTTGGATAGATTTGGATGGAATTACATTTTTCCAATTCATTCAAAATTCATTACAAATCAAAGTGTTAATTTAATCATGATCAGGTATCAGGTTGAATTAATTAGTTATGTTAATTAATTGTAGCATGAAAAGAAAGGTAAGAAAAAATAATATTGTTAGTCTATTGAATTAAAAGTAATTGATAAATTGTTGAATGGTTCATACATTAAATTCAACAACAATTTAAACTGGATTAAAGGGTAAAAAAACTAATCAAATTTCAATGAAGATCATCTTCCAGTCAAATCAAACCAATTAGTTAATTGTAATTAACGTGATTACATCAAGGTGTCGATTCAGTGTTAATCTTAATTGTTTGTGAGTTTTTTCACCTTTTTTTTGCAAGAATCAACCATAAGAGATACAGATTAATCGGAATTGATTAAGAACTTTGATTTTAATCATAGTGATTTAGTATTGGGAATGGATAAAAATTGTTGTTTACTAACTTTTACCTTTCATTTCATCATGAATCTAATTCAGAATTCAGAGTTTCAGATAGCTTGCAATTTCCTGACATCTAATATTAACCCTGATCATTGAACCCAAAAAGGAGGATGAAGATGAGTAGGGTGGGTGGGTTATGGTGGTCAACAGAATAACATCAAGTTTATCATCATTATCATTGGTCATCAGTATCTAACCTTTTTACCTGAGAGAGAAAGAGAGTCCAGACTCAGGTTTATATCAATAGAAACAAATTATCACACTTAAAATAGATAAACACACAGACTGGACAATATAATGACCACTCAGATATATGAAACTGGATAAGATGAATACTACAAAGAGGAAGGAAAAAAAAATTTCTTCCAAAAATCTCCTGATACTTTTTGTCACTTTAATCAAAGGGGATGGACACAATTCACTGGTCAATAGTTAATCAAACAAATTAATCGTCACAAATGATTCGTTTAAGAAACTTTTCTCTCTCTTTGATAGAACTTTTTTTTCCTCGAACCATTCGAATAGAAAATCTCGAAGGATTTGTCCAAATTTTTAATTCGATAAATTTAACTTATTCAAATCATTCAATTCGAAAGTTGGAAAATTAATTATTTTCACTCTTCAAAGTTGATTGAACTTGTATGCAAATGATTAACTCAATAAATAATCAATAGACCTTTTGATTAACACGAAGAAAACATTTCTGTTTAATGGTTAATCAATTGATTGTTTATAATTAAACGGGAAAAAGATGGAAATTAACTTAAATTTAGTACAATTATAAGAGAGAGAGAGAGAGATGGAAAAATCTAATTACAATTAGGATTCTGGTCTCTCATGGTAACCCTAGTGTTCAATTTGTTATTATCATTATGGTTGAATAAGCTTGACCCCAAAGGTAAAATGTTATGATAATTAATTTGATTGTCTAACAATTAACTATGTCACCAATGCATATCAATGATTAATTGTTGTAATGGTAATTAATTTGCTTCAATGGTTTAATATTAGGTTACTAGGTTTTCATTTTTATTTCGTCTTTGTAATAAATTAACTTTGTTTTTTTTTGTTGTTTTACTCTTGATTAGAATCAACAATTAAGGTTTACAATTGCAATTTGAATGTTTGATTGTGTAAAATCAACAGAAAGCGTAAAAGTAAACACAATTTAAATTGTTATCGATTTGATGGTTTGTTTAATTGTCTTTGGTTTTTGTTTGGAGTTTAATTGTTTGTTGATTGTTGAAAGGAAGAGAAAATCGATTGATCGAAAAAGTTTTCGAGTTTCAATTTCGATTCAAAATTGTTAGAACTTTTTAGTTTTCTCTTCCTTGGATTTTCTTTTTTTCGAGTTGAACTTTTTTCTCTCTTACTTTTGACTATCCTGGGCCAATGAATCGGCTTCTGATCACGAATATAGTTGATTGTTAGGATGTAATTAGTGGCCAATTAATAGATTGTTACATAACAGCAAAGGGAATATAAAAATATGCAGAGAAATTAATTATTAGTACAATTACCAAAATTAAGCATTAGAACTTTTTTTTCATCGACTTTGATCAATTAATGAATATGGATCAAGCAATTAAGATGATTATCAATTAAATATCATCAAATTTAAAACTTTTTCTTGGTCAACAATTAAATTACAAACCACAGTTAACCACTTACACACCTTAACTGATTTAAGTTAATTTTGCTTTTCTAATTTAATATAACCTAAATTTATAACAGCAATTAAGTTGATTATTCCAAGATTGAAATATGAATTGATTAAGATTCGAGTAGATTAGTAAATAATTAACTATTGATTAGCATCAGCGGGACAGTTATTTTGATTGTGGTTAATTGTTGATGAGGAAAATGATCACAATTAAGAAAAGAATTGCGAGTTTTTTTAATTACCTTGTTTGGCACGTCGACTTTTCATCCGACAAAACATGATGATGAGAATGATGATGAAGATGATTATGATGATTGCGATGATTCCTGCTATTAAAATGATAGATTTCTCGTCAAGATGTGGCATTGTCCACCGAGAGTCAACTGAAGAGGGGGGGGAAAGATGATAGAAAAAGTTAAAAACGGATACGGAAATGATGATGATGATCGTAAATTTTTGTCTCAATTCAATACCTAAAGGCGCGGATTTGGTGAAGAGGCAATAAGATGAGCCGATACTATTGGTCACTGAGCAGTTCCAAGTGCCAAACATTGACTCATCATTTGGTGAGATGACAATTTGACTTCGTGAACCTTGATTGGTGACAATGTCATTGGTTGAATTGGTTGAGGTGAAAGTTGAATTACCGATAATCCATTGGAAGGATAAATTATCACTTGGATTAGCAATGGCCTCACAGATTAAGACAATATAAGATGAGGAGTGAGATGATGATGAGAAAGTATCGGTATCGGTACCACGAATTTCAGATTCAGATATTTCACAAATGGGCTTATCTAGAAATTTACACGGGATGAAACGTGAAAGAAAACCAATACAATCAAATCAAATTTTTTCTCTCGAAATTTTTCATTTCTCAAGCTGAAACTTACGAAGTACATTGATAACTGCATCGATTCGGGCCTTTCCGTGCCTATTGTAGGCAACACATGAGTAATTACCGCCGGTATCCTGAGTCATTGGATTGTGAATCTCAAGAATCGATGATTCTGCAATAGGGGCACCCCATCTTTCCCAACGATAATAGGGTTTAGGAAGAGCATCACTGTGGCATCTTATCGCCTCGGGTGTTTTACCTTCAATCACTTCAACAACTTGAGGTGAGATGGATAAATTTTCAGGAGGATCTGAACAAATTTAAATCGAAAAGTAAAAGTTTTTTTTTCTCATCATCACAAGTTCGAACTTATTATTCTGATAGTATCGTTTAGATTTTTTTTTCTATTAGAACTTACATTCAACTCGAAACTCCATGTTAGACTCTACCCCTGTTCCAGCGATATTATTGGTCGATGAACAAGTTATCTCTGAATTATCGGTTTCCCTACTCAAAGGTTTATTCAAATTCCAAGATAAGGTTGAAACGATGCTGAGGAAAATATTTGCTTCCTTTTCCTCCGGGTGTTGAGTCTCCTTGATGGTGAACGTTCTTGCCGAACTTGAGGTTGAATTTGGATCAATCAATGAACCATTGAGATACCATTTAATTGAACAGGGAGGGTCACATTCAACTCGACATGAAACTGAATGTTGAGAGGCATTGAAAAGGGCTCCATCCACGGCGGGTAAAGATTCAATCAATTTAGGTGGTACCATTGGTTGAACATAAAGGTAACCTGAAAATTTGACGAAAAACAAAATCAATATTCGGTGGAAACAATTAGAACTATTTCCAAACGAAACCATTTCAAATCGATTAACTCAAACCCTTTAATTTGAATACAATAAATACGATCTCTTATCATTATCTAATTGGCATGTTAATTGTTACAACTGATTAGCTAATTGTTCATATCATGATTGGCCTAATAACTTGTAGGAACCCAACCCATTATTTTATCGAACTGATTAAAAGTTTTCTTTATCCTCGAACAGAAAAAAAGTTTTCCAATCCAATTGAATATTCAGTTTCGAAGATAAATTGATAATCTCATCATCATTTCCATGATCTAAAAAAAATTCTAATATCATATGTATGTAACTAAACCAATTCCAAGTCTATTTAGACGATGGTGAGAAAAAAACTCTTTTCTCAAACATATAATCTTCTTGAATCATCTGATAGCCTGAGGCTATTTAATTTCACATGTAAACAGAGATGAAAATATTAAAAGTTTAAACGAAAAACAAAACCTAAATTCAAGCGTAATTCAAAACCAATGATATGAAATTTCAATTTGCATGAGAAAAAAATTGGTTATCCATAAGTTCATGGAGAGAAAACTTTCACTCAGAACTTTTTTCTGTATTCAGCCATGAAAATACTTCCTTAACCTCTCCCTTATTTTACATATTATTTCAATCAGAAAGTAATGAATTTTTTGTCTTCTATTGATTTCTATCTCTGAAGGAGATACAAATGTTCAAAGAGAAACCCGGAAATAAGTGAAATTTTTGTTCCATGAAAAATGATATTCATCAGTTTCTTGAATCAATATTATTCTGATAATTACCTTTAGCTCCTAATCCTGCCGAGCTGATGGCTGCACATGAATAATTACCACGAGTGGACAGGGTAACATTGGTTATATTGAGAATGGATTCAGTTGAATCAACCAAATGAATACCATCATGTTCCCAGAGGTATTCAGTGGCTATTGGCCATCCCAGAGAGTGGACAATACATTCAAGAATCAATGGTTCACCTTTAACCGGATGATTACCGTTAATTTGCTGAACTTGTGCCCGTGAAGGTAAAAATTTAACATCAAGTTCAAGTTTATTTGATAACTCAGACCAACCAGCATCGTTTAACGCTGAACATGAATAGTTTCCGGAAAGTGACTTGTCCACCGATAACCAGACAATCTCATTCTGTGTGGTTTCATTGATAATCACCTCATTTCCCTCGGATGTTGTCCTAATCCAGCGGACTTTTGATACATTGGACGGATTCCCATCTTCCAGGTCACATAGTAATTGAATATCATCTCCCTCTTTTATCATCATATTGCCACTTACATCTGAGAGAAAAAAAAATATCACCAGAAAGCGGAAATAGAAACGATGAAAATTCAGAGAACCATTTTTAAAATTCAATCAAAACTTATATCAACTTCGCATGGATTAGCATCATCATTGAATTTATGATTACTTTTAAATTGAAATTTCCCTGATTCAATTTCAACAAACCAAAAGGGCAAAAAATTGAACTGATTCTCGTTTTAAACTCAACTTTAATCATCGATCATCATCATGATTGTTTATTCAATTCAATGAATAATAATAGTAACAAAACACTCTACCCACCCTCAAGAATTCACCACCCACCCAACATGATCCTCCCCTGTTACATAAAAGCAAATAAAGTTTCAATAAAAGTAATAATATTGTTACTGAATTTTTCAGTTTCTACCCTGAAATTTTTTTCCAACATCAACCAATTGAAATTACACCTTCTATTATGATCATTGTTCAGGTAATAGATTGATGAATAAACTAATAAAGGATTTTAACAGGTAAGAGAAGATAAATTGTTCAAATTTCGGGTTTTTTATTACTTAAGAAATTTCCTTGGCTCATTCATGGTAAAATTCAGGGTAAAAAGTTCAGAATTCTGTTGGAACCAGTTTCTTTAGTCTATTGTTGTTCATCAGTATCAAGCTAATATGTTATTACAATTGTTGTTGTTGTTGTTGTTATCATAACAAGTTCAGGGGATTGCTCAGAATCTCTGATTTCTATCCTGAATCACCATTGAAACTTGAAAATTCAGAGAGTTTATCTCATGATATCATCTCACCCAGAAGAATGAGAAGAGTAAAAAAAGAGAAATAAAAAATTTCTTCTCTTTCTATTTACTTTCATTCTTTTGCTTTCTTCATTTCCATGATTATTGAGATGAATCATCTTCTTCATGATGATTGAATGTATTTCCTGAATGACTGAATTTTATTCAATAAGTAAACACATTTTCAAGTTTATTCTAAATTTAGAAGAAAAAGAAAACAATAGAAAAAACTTCCTTTCGATTTTTACCTTAAAACTTTTTCTATTTCATGATAAACTTCTTGATAATCTTCATTATCTTACAGAATTCTGTTTATTCAGCAATTTCATTGTTTACATGATGATAGTTAGAAGAGATTCAGTGTCAATGGTAACTAGTTATCATTTGGAATTGTCGATAAAGTTCAATTCTCAATGTTAACGATTCCAAGTCAGAGTCATCACCTTTTCTCATGTTGAAATTTATTCTTAACCTGAGAAATTAAATTCAGAACTTTTTTCAGAAAATGTTTATTTCGGTTGGAATTTTTTTTTGGAAAATTCTATTCTTCCCTGACAAAAAAAAAGTTCTGAGATCCATTTCAATCATCATGTTAGACAAAAGTTCCTACCATGAGCTTTAATCTCAAGTGTCTCAATTCAACTTAAATGGTATCATGTTCAACTCATGGAAATGAATCTTTGGCCTCATGAAAACGTACATAAAATCATCATGGTAACAAAAAAATAATCACATTATCTCAATAATATATCATTTCAATTTCAGGTGAATAAATTGTTATTCAGAATCGTTGTCAGAATCAATTGAATCCTGAATCAATCTGAATCTTTGTGCAATTTAAACTCAATCCAATTATTTTTTCTAGAAACAATTAATTGTAACAAACAAAAAGTTTCACAACAATCAAACTAATTCTAAATTCAGTTCACTCATACAGTTTTCAATTAAATTGTAATCAAAAAGTGATCAAGTTAATTTACTAATCATCACAACAAATGATTATCTTCAAATGAATCATTTAATGATCAAATTAATTGATACATTTAACTATTGACTCAGCTGATTGTTAATAACATCAATGGTTCAGTTGATTGTTGATATGTAAACACAATCAAGTGATTATGACAATATCAACATTAATTGTTGTATTAGCTTAATGATTAGATGATGAATCAACAGGAAATTTTAATCAACTTACCGGGATAGATTCTGAATACAACCGTTGGACGGTAAATGATGTTTAAACGGACTCCGTTTTTGGCCTTAGTCGAACCAATTTCGTTTTCTACTGAACAATAATATGTACCTGAGTGTTCACGGGTCACATTTACTATCGAAAGTATCGGGTAACCGGAGAAAATGTTCAAATATCGGCCCTCCGATGCCTCGATATCGATCTCTTCGTTATCTTTGTACCAACGAGTCTCATTTCGTTTCAATTCAATCGGATTCGAGTTATAAGTACAATAGATGTTGATAGATTCTTGATTCTCTTGTAGTTTAAGGCCATTCTCAGGTTCCATTACAATGGTCGGTGAATCTGAAAGTTCGACGAGAAAAAGTTCAAATATTGATAATTCTTTTTTTCTGTAATTAGTAATTAATCGAAGCCTTAGAATAAAAAGAAAAATTCTAAGATGTTAGGTTATAATAGTTGAGAACTTTTCTATTTCTTTTGATAAGAAAAGTATTTTTTTCTCAGAATTCTCAGAATTTTATCCAATCATTTTCTCTTTCAATATTTTCAATTAATTTCTCTCATTTTCCTCTTCATGGAGAGAGATATTAGATTCATGATTAACAGAATAAGAGAAAAAAAAATCTTCGGAATGTTCAAGTTAATTAACTTTCACTAATGGTGAGTTGATTAAAAAGTATTTGATTGATGGTTTGCATTAAATTAAATTCTCGGTGTTTAATCAATGGAGGCAAATCAAAATAATTATTATTCTTCAATTGTTATCACTTGGTTTGGAAATTTATTCCACCTCGATAAACTTACATAGGACTTTGAATTGAATTGTAGCCTTAATTGGTTCATTCATGGCAGGATTAATTGCTCGACACTCGATTGTCGATAAATGGTCATATCGGGTTATATAAAATTCCATGATGGACTCCGTTCGTTTTGTACCATCATTAGAATCTTTATCTTCATAAATTTCCTCCGAAATTTTAACATTCGACATAGGCATAGTTCTGATAGAGAAAAGAAATTGAAAAATTTAATAAAGTTACAAAAAAGAAAGGTTTAGGAAAGAAAAAAACTTTTCGAAAAACTTTTATACTTTCGAACTTGAAACAAAAAGTTCTAACATGATGTAAATTCACCATTAGATATTAATAGCTATTCTCTTGTTGAACTTTTGTTGATTTAAATGAAAATAATATCAACGTAACAATTGATTGATTGATTGTTTGTTGATTATGATTAATTGTCTTCATGTGGTTTATCATGTTGCTCTCGTGAAAGTTGATTAATGTTTTTTTTTTGCTTAATTGTCACAATTAAAAATACTCACCCATTGAACCATTCAATATTAACATGAGGTCGACTTGCAGTTGCAATACATTTAATTGTAATTAAATCATTTTCCTTAACTTCATCAATTGGTCCAACAATGTAAACATTTAAAGCACCAACTGAAAACAATTAATTAAAGTTGATAACAATTAATTTATTTAACTTGTCAATCATTATGATTAACTGTCGTTTAAAGGTGTTTAGGTGTGGTCAGTGTAGGGGGTGGAAAAGAGAGAGAGAGAGAGAGGAAAAGGAAAGTGAAAATTGGGAGCGGGAAATCAATTGATTACAACAATCGAAATGAATTTAAATTATTAGAGGGAAACAATTTTTCACCTTGAATTTGATTTCAAATGAAATTGATCTTAATCAATTGATTAGTAATCAATGATAATCATGATTTAAACTTTAGGTGTGTCTACAATTAAGATTACCTGATTAAATGATTAATCTCAATCAAGGAGATATTATCATTAATATTGATCATAATCTAATTTCAATTATTATTTAAGGTTTGTAATCAAAGTTGTAAATAACATTTTCTTGAGGAAAATTAAGCAGAATGAAAAATTTATTAACCTGCAAACGGAAACGGAAATGATGAAAAGTAAATTTACTTACCATAAACATCAACATCTACAAATGAATCATATTTATAATCGTCCGGTTCAATTGATTCATGGGACACATGACAATATAATCTCCTATTAAGGTCACTACGGTCAATTTTTTTAATCAAGGCAAGACTGGTTGAACTATTATCCATTTGACCCAAAGGTGATGCAGATAAAATAATTTTATTATTCAAATTATCACCTGATGAACTTTTAACTGACCACCATTCAAGTTTAGGTAAAGGTTTACCACCGGTCACTCCACAGGTCAATTTAACCTCTTCCCCCTCTTTAAATGGTCCAATGTTACTTGAAGTTTCAATTGATTTACTTGGATTACCTTGACTATCACTGAATGAGATTAACGCCCTTGATGGTGCAGCTTAATCACAATTAAACAAATCAACAAAATTAAGATTAGATTCAAATATTAGTTACAATTAAATCAATTGTATCTCTCAGGGGAGACCCACAGTGTCTCAAGATGATTTAAACATAATCATTACGATTTAAGATTAATCAGAAATTAGATGGAAAAAAAATTTGAGATTAACAAGATTAACCTTTAATTTATATGATGATTAAGTGGCTTAATTTGATCCACTGCCCACTCTGTTTGATCAACTAACAAGCTTCATGATTAAGATACAATTTACTTTAATTAATCCTCAACAATCAATGTAAATATAAAGTAATCATAATTATCTAGTGAAAAACATCAATTCTCATAATTATGATGACCAATATCAGAATCTGAAACCATTTCAAGTTGACCAGTTAATTAACTTTTTCTCTGGACAATTTACAAGAATCAAATTCATTGCAAATCAATTGGAATTAATTTCCAAGTTAATTATGTGGCTCAAGGTAAATTATAATTTAATGATTGACCAATTCAAGTCAGAAAAAAGTGAGTGGTCAGTAATTCAATTACATTTAGAGTATTAATATCATTTATTGTAAGAGGATTAAGATTATCATTTATGTTTCAATGTATTTACATGATTGTTGTTGATTGTTTACTAACTTTGATTTACCTTGTCAATTTCAAGATGAAGATGGTGGATGATAAATTTCATCTTCATCTCTGCATGTATTCAGACATAGTGAAAGCTTTTCTCTCTCTCTCAAAATGAGTAATCATAATGATGAATAAAACATAATTAAGATAATCAAACTGTATCATTGACAGTTAAATGCTGTGATGTTGTGTAAGTTAATCAATGATGATTGTAAATTGTTGCTCATGATAATTTAGTTTCATGTTGATTCACAGCTGATGAGATTAACAGAAATTCAAATCGTTTAAATTACTTGTAAAATTGTATGAATATAATTGCGAACGATGAAATTGTAACAATTGATAAATTGCTGTTCTCTTTTAAATTGTTGTTTTATATGGTGCAAATCTATTTCTCCGACAATCAGTGAGTGTCACAAGGAATAACTTTCATGTTATCACGTTTTTAGAACTTTTTTTTATATACTTTTTCTCTCTTCTTCAATTTTCATCGTCATGGGAAATCGAGGACATGATACAAGAATTTTTTGTTCTAAATCAGATAAATACAAACAGAGGAATATAAATGTAACATGTAATCACAGTACGAGATCTTCATGTCATCCTCATGAAGATGAGGATGAATGAAGAGAGAGAGAGAGAGAGAGAGAGAGAGAGAGAGAGAGAGAGAGAGAGAGTTCAAGTGTTTCATTTTCTTCCACTGGTTTAAGAAACATTGACACCAAAGAGGTTCAAATTCAGAGACAGAACTTTTTGTTTTGGCAACCACATCATCTCACCATCTCCATCATCATCATCATGGTTATATTACCGTCTTTTAATCAACGACAACAATAACAACAATCAAGCAAAAGCCAAAAGTAGGTTAGTGATGCAAAAAATAAAAGGGATGAGCCATAGGATGATGATAGGGATGATAGAGATGATAAATGATGCCAATAGATATTTTGTTTTTTTATATCAACTCGATGCTTTTGATATAATATTGAATTGGAATAATTTTTTTGAAATTTTGTTTTCATCATGATGACAAAACAAATAGTAGTAAATAAGTAAACATTGATTAGGTTGCCAATAATGAGGATGAAGATGAGGATGAGGATGATAAGCTCTTCCTCTATGAGGAAATGGATTCAATCGAATGGTTTGATTAGAGATGATGAGGATGATTTAAAAAAGAGGAAAAAGAGTTTACATAATTTTAGCTTCTAAATACATCAGTCAACTCAATTTTCATCCTCATCATCTCTCCATCTATGTCATCATCATCATGAGAGATATTTTCTTACTCTTTCAAGTTGACATTAAAGTATAACACAAGATGAGGATGCAAATTGATTGTAGGATTGACATGAAGAAGGATAAGAAAAAATTGATGCGGTAAAAATGATAAACACTTAGAGAATTGAGAATTAGCTCTTGCAAGATGAAACTTTATCTTCATATTATCAAGATAATTAAAAAGCTATTTCAAGATAAACATGATGATGCTCAGATCTCAAGGAATCTTCTTCATGATTCCAATGATTCGCATGGAAAATTTATCTCTCTCTCTCTCTCTCTCTTTGAATAATTACCAATCAATTGATTCCAACTTCATAGATTCAAAGGTAAATCAACATAATTCTTAAGGGAGAGAAAGTTTTTTATACCTCAGGTAATTATTTTCTTTTATCTCTTAACTTGATGAGATTTTCAGGGTGGAACCGGAAGATATTCAAGTCAATTGAGCTCGAAATTTACAGAATTGATTATCTCTTTTACTTTCTTTGGAATTAATTCAATTAAAACTGAAATGAGATCTCCATGAATATCATGATGATGGAGAATGATGAAAAACTATTATTATTAATACAAATATGAGACGAGAAAAAGTTTACTCAATTTCCAATCTACTTCTCATTAAGAATTGAGATTTTTTTTTTCATCAATTCTGATTCTTATTCTGAGGAATCAAATTATCATCATTATTTTCCTAATCTCAAGATGATGAGGATGAAATAAAATTAAGGTTAGACTATGAATTAATAACAGGTAAATATGATGATGGAGATGATAATGTTTATTATAAAAGGTTTGGCTATTTAATTTAGTTTCATCCTCATGTTATTGTTGTTATGATTAATATGATAACATTATGATTAACATCAAAATGTCACATTATCATTCATTTGTAATCAACATCATGTTAATTATCATTCATATTCAATTAACTATAATAATATCAACAGAAAATATAAAGAAAAACTTAAATTGATTCACTATCATCATCATAATCATCATCAAATCAATTAAGATAATCAAGTAAGATTGTGACACAGTAAATGTATTAATACAAATAACGAGCAGCAATTAAACTTGATATGCTAATTGAATCAATCATCTGAATGATAAATTACACAATTAAACAGAAAAGAGATAATGAAAAAAAAGTTCTAAAATTAATTTCTTATTTCATATAATAAATATCACTAACAAGATAATAATTCAATTAAACTGAGAATATCAAACATGAGGATTAATATAATCTTAAAAAAATCAACTAATTGCAATCACAATCAACAGAAATTGTCAAAGGATATTAAATATCAGTAAACAATGACAAGAATATAATTGATATAAATGATTAACCAAAGCAAAGGATAAAAAGATGAAGATGAAGATGAAGATGGACCAGGATGTAGACTAATTATTATCATCATCTTTTTGATTATTATAAATATTATGGTTGATTGTGGTTTAACTGTGGGTCGGTACCTGAAATTTACCTCAATAGAAAAGGTAAATGAGACTTACCCAAAATTTCAAGGTGAATGTAAGTTAAGGAAGGGCACTTTCCAACTGAAATGTAGGTAACATCACATTTATAATAAGCCTCATCGGTCAGTTTAAGTTTTTCTATGAGCAAATTACCTCCACCACCCTCTTCTTGAGAGGCGGATGATGTAGATGAGGATGAGGATGCTGATGATGGAGATAAGGATGAAACTTGAAAAACTGCTCGATTGGATAGCTCACTTAAGGGTTTATTTATACTCTCACTGTACATGTAAACTCGAGACCAAGTTTCAGAATTTTCATCTAGAACTTTATTCTTGGTCCAAGCGACAAAATAAACTTCACCACAATCGGCTGTGTTAATGTTACATGGTATCGAAACTTTATCACCTACAAGGCCTTTAATGGTTGGGATTGTAACGGGAAGTAAAACTGAATCACTTGAATCAATTGTTTGACCATTAACTGGACAATTAATTGACCATAGAAATAAAAATATGATAACAAGTAAACTTATATTATTATAATAACAATTATTTATCCAATTATATTGATTAACTGATTTCCAATGGTAATTACACTTTAATTTAATTGATTGTTGTTCTTGATGTTGTTCATTTGTCATTTCTAATTTTGATCCAGTTATCCATTTGGGATTTTGTCGTTGTATCAACTCACCATTATGATGAGAGTGATGATGATGATGGTCAATAGTTAGATGAGGACAATCAGCTGATATAATCATTTTCCTGGAAATTATCAAATAAACTTATCAAAATGAACACCATGAGAGAAAATGCTAAAGCATCATCATCATTCCGTCTTTGACACTTGACGATGACGAGGACGATGATGATAATATTCAATGTTGACAATCAAACAATCAAAATTAGAATGAGAAAAAAAATTAATCCAAACACTGGATTAGTATCAAAAAAAAAAGAGATACAAAAATGATTCACTTCCGATGCAAAGGTGAGATTATCATACAGAAAAAAGTTATTTTCAAGAGTTTTGAAAAAAAGATGAGGATCTTAAGATGATGTAGGAGTTGTGATGATCAAATCCCCTTTGGCTGTGTTGTGTTATGTTTCACTCTCAATGTTCAACTGGCGGAGGGAAGATATTTTTTCACAACACTCTGCATCTTTTGCGCATGTTGTCATCATTATCATCCATTCACATGCGTGAATTCAGGTTTGGGAAGATGAGGATGAGGATGAAATTAATGATGAAGATAAAGATGAGAAGGGGGATGAATTTACTGTAAGCTTAAGCTGAGCTTTAGCGCCCAAAGAAACAGAGCTAAAGCGTTAAAGTCAGAAAGTACTCAGTTGGTGTGTAAATGTTGCAGCGGTAACGAGATTTTCTTGTGTTTTTTTTTTCATTTCGTTCACATCGGTTCATCGTTCAATTCTTGTAATGGATAATACAAAAAGATCACCCAAAAAAGGGAAAAAACGGTCAAATGAACTGGACAAACTACTTGCCTCAGGACCTGTGCAGAAAAAATCCAATGTGACATACGACAGTGAAAATGAAGAAGAAGAGGTAAGCTTAATTCTCAAAACAATTTATTTCCGATTACAATTGGGGCTAAATGCCTAAAATAATGGGTTTTTCCTTTTGGAAACTAACAGACGGGCATAACCTTTGAACAATTGATGGCCTCTCTCAAGAGACTTGATGTCGATGAGGACCAAATCTTTCGGGAATGGTCGAAGTCACTTGACCCGATCACCATAACGGAAACTCTTGAAATGCTACGACATTATCTCGAGATAACGCCACACCAAGACATTGGTAATGAAGATCTGTCACTCCTTTCGCTCTTCCTCAAACAAAGTGGCCACAAAGCTAATACAAAGCATAAAAGTACCACTGAGGTCAACTTAATAGACCCTGCCAAAGTTACTATAAGAGATCGCGAAGGTCAAAACATCTTCCTGAGCTATCGAACCAAAACAGCGAAGCCCAAAAATTGGTTGGATGTCACGAATCTACCAATCAAACCATCAATAATAGTGCAGATTAACGATAAAAATGATTCAACTAAACTTGACGGCTTCACCACAAAGAAAACCTTCTCAGAGATATATGAAGAAAGCGGCGAAAATCATCTCCTTATTGAGAAAATCATACCGCAGCAAAATGGTATAAAGATAATTTTAGAGACCGAAGAAGCGAGGAAAGTATTAATGCAGGAATTACAATCCATCAAGAAGGACAATTGGCAAGTACTAATACCAAATTTGAGAGACCCCAAGATATGCTTCATCACTTCCAACGAAATCTCCGAATCAAACGCTGCGGCGTGGATGTTGAAACTGAAGCGCTATAATCGGTGGGCTGACAAACACGAAATCAAATGGCAAAGTACAACGACCCTGAGAGAGGGAAAATACAAGATCACACTATCAATAAACTCCACATTGAGAAATGAAATTGAGAGGCTTGGTGGCAAAATCTCAGTTGGCTACCAAAAAGAAGAGATCTTCGATCGATTAAACTTGATTGTTTGCCTTAACTGCTCGCAGTGGAATCACAGAGCTACAAACTGCAAATACAAGCGCTCGTGTGGATACTGTGGTGAGGCACATCCGGGGAAATGCGAGATTACACTGAAAAGTGACTGGAAGTGTCCCAACTGCAAGAAGAAAGGCCACTCCGCTTTCTGCCATGAATGCCCATTACTGCTGATAAAACTACAAAATGAAATGGAAAAAATAAACCACCAATACACAAATCTCTTCTTGGAAAACTTTTACTAATAAGTTGTAAGAGATACAATTGTTTTCTTGAATTAATAAAATGATTACAGAATAAAACGACGATTGACTTTAATCTTTTTTCGACGAGATAACTTACTCATTTTACTGAACACAAACTGAACCATTAGTATAAGTTGCGCCTTGGCAAAAAAAGACTCTGATAGCTGCAACTGAACTTCTGCACTTGTTGTTGAAGAACTTTTGAAAAAATTGGACATCTTATCGAAATAGCGGAGTGACCGATGGCTCCACATCTAAAACAACACCAATCAGATCTCCTCTCACTGTAGGGACACTTCAATGTGACGTGCCCTTGTCCGCACTGTGAACAACGGGATGCACTATGACAATTCTTCACAGTATGGCCTAACTGAGAACAGAAATCGCAATAACGAATCGAAAAACAATCATAGAACTCAATGTTATACCCAGCCAAGTTCAACACTGGGGAGGTGAGACCTTGACGATACGAAGCTGGTACCTCGACAATCACAGCGGTAAAGCGACTGCCACGAGTTACGTTCCGCACTCGAAAGGCTCCGTCTACACTGTCTTTAAGAAACTCAAATAACTGCTCAGCTCCCCCGGGTAAGCCGACTGGAACCAGATACTTCAGGGTAGGTGACAAAAGCTCTGCCGCCCTGGGTTGAAAACCATGACTTCGCAATAGTGTAAGGATAAAAGAAGTGAATCGTTCATCATGATCATTCAACAATACTCGCACGCATCTGTGACCCCTTAAAACGATCGGCTTAATGTCAGTAGCCGAATTACCACTTGTTCCAAACACGGCGTCATTTAATATCTGCTGTACCACACTCTTAAACTTATAAGTCTCAGCATTAGTCACTGGCACGATAATTACTCTGGTCGGCTGAGTGGTTGACGACACGACACCAACATCCTTATGCAACTCAATGACATACATAGCAACAAGAAGTAACAACTCCTCCACTAGAGGGCTAGAGAACATAAAGAAAATAAAAACTCAAATCTATATCAGTTTTGTTTACTTCACCAACTTACCGATCAGAAAACTCTAAATCAGTTATTATAAGCCCAGAATTACCTTCAAATTGAATCTTGTGAATATACTAAAAAGAATGGAAGAATCGATGAAGTGCCTCTTGAATAGCGGTGTCAATCTCCTGGATGGTAAAGACGCTTCGAAAGTAATGGTATGGTTCTCAGGACAACTAATTACAAGGGAAACGAGGAGAATTAAATTGAAACTCTGTGCCATTTATCAAGTGGATGAAGAAGAAATTGTTGATATACAAACCCTAAAGAACAACGAAGAAACGGTGGTCCTAATGGTAATCAAGAAAACCTGGAGAAACTTGCTTAATGCCTCCTTTGGCAATACAATCCAATTAGATGGAATATGTCACCAGCTTTATGATTTACCAGATGTGGAAACGGCCAGAGCACTATTGACCCTAGACAAATACGACAATGGTGAAAAACAAAAGATAATTAAACGTAAAGGTCTTAAGGGGCTAATACTTTTTGGTGTACCAACAATTGACCCAACAACAATTGGAGAAAGATACATTGAAACAGCGGCTGAAACAATAAAACACCAGATGTCGACTCTAATTGATAGGATGGTTGACACCCCGTAGGGATAAAAGCATGTTGACCATAGCAACGCTTTGAAATCAAATTAACCGAAAGCATTGCTATCCTATTTTCCTCCCTCAAACTAATCCTCTCCGTGACAATTTAAACTGAATAATCGTTCTTTTCTTCTCCCATCAATTCTAATTCTAACAATTACAGTATATCTTTCTCTAGTGATTAATCAGCATATGTGAACCATTGGACTACAGAGATGACTATCAGTGACGCCGTGGCAATAGCAAGAGAAGATGATGGATTTATGAGAGGTCGACCTCAAACACTGCACTTTATGATAAGACCCATGAACTCGTCACTTGCCCTGCAGGAAACAAGCGTTAAGTTCTCGTCAATGTCACAATTATTGATGATTGCAACTCTCATCATGGAGAATGACAATATAAGCAGCTGGATACAATCAAAAATCAACATCATCGAAGATAACCTTGAGCTCACTTTCCTTGTACTGAAAACAAAAGCGTTTAACCTTGAACAAGCCATCCATAGTCAGCCGAATTGTGGGGATGTGGTTATAACTGCAGCTATGAAACTGCCAAGTTACCTCTTACTCTACCAAGGTGAACAAGTTCCAGTTGAAACAATCGTGGGAGACCTGGTCGAGAACATCGGTTTTAGAAGCTTAACTGCTAGCTATATCCAACCAGTTATTCCCACTTACAATTGTCTGACCTTCCGTACTAATGAAAGGGATCTAATCATTCGTAATCGATGGCAATTTACACTTGAAAACGATGCACGTGCCGAGGTAGTGGACAATGTTGGTCATACTCAGTGTTTGAGATGCCATTTTCTCATCTTAAGGCCAGATGAACAACATCCGTGCTCAAGTAACCCATTGTGCTCCGTTTGTAACAGGCCACACCATGGATATACGGTCTCCTGTCGAGAAACCCCAGAATGCAGAACCTGCAAAACAATGGGACGCCAAAGTGAACATCCGAGCAACCACCCTTCGTGCACATATTGGCAACAATTGTGCACAGACTATGTAAATGGTCACTTTGGAACCTTCAACTTTTTACGACTACTATCGTCAACCATCGACCCTCGAAAATAGAACAACAGGATGGAGCATAAAACCAATAAGACCATCCCGAATACAATGAACTAACCAACAACCAACCAGCTTAAGACACCACTACCATCATTTTCTCTTCCACCGTCATTATAAAAGTTCTCCTCTCGAATATGTTCCTCAAAACAAAATCTCTCCCTTAACAAATGTACCCAATTACCCAGTCTACCCGAACAAATAACCAGAACGTTCCATGCTTAACCTTAATAAACTTATGAAGAAAGAAAAGTTGTAATCATTTACAGTGTTCAAATAAAATTTCCTTAGAAATGAAAATCGAACTGTTTCAGCTCAATGTAAACAGAAGACTCAACACTTACCTGAAATGCAAAAAATGGATAGAAAACAGATCGAGTTGCATTGGTATCATCAGCGAGATTACCAACAGTATTCTATCCAAAGAACATGACGAACAAGCAACCACAGCCGGAAGAGTCGCAATACTTCATGGTAATGATGTACAAATTGTGAAAGTCATCCGCCTGAACGATAATCTGCTCATGGCACTTATGCAAGTCCATTGTGAGAGATTCTGGGTGATCTCAGTATACAATCCTCCATATGAAACAGAAACGCTCAAGCTGCTAACAGAGACGATATGCAAATTCGACAACAAAATACCGATCGTGATTGGTGGCGACCTAAATGTAGAGGGTCGATTATGGAGCTACGAACCACGCAAAGAAAGAACATCTGAGGTTCAACTCTCCTGCGACACCCTGGTAGCAACATTGGAAGACCGACAATTTGAATCGCTAATAAAAATAGACGAAAACCATTACACAAGAAGAGGAAGAATAAACAAATCAAGCCTGGACTGTCTTCTCGCAAACTTCGGATTTGTAACAGTGGACTCTGAGGTGAAACACTACCAGAACCTCTCAGATCACTGCCTATTAAGGGTCGAGATATTAACGAAAATTAGACATAAGCCGATAATCAGAGCACAATGTCTCTTCAAAACAATCAAAGTTGCCAGAGGAGAAAATGGTATAAGAGAAATAATCTTGGCACCATCGAGCTCAAGGAAGAGAAGATTTAATGGTTGGGATGGCGAGAAAAACCGAAAACAGCGCAGACTTGAAAGGGCTGAGACGAAATGCGGCCTTGATGATATAGATGAGAAAATATTCAATTCATGGAAACTGAATAAATATCGCAGCCTAAAGCAACTGTTAAACCTAAACATGGACACGAAAGTCTTTTGGCGTAAATACTCGCATCTCATCTTCCGGTACGAAAACGTCGACTCCGCACTCGAAAGAATCAACCAGCGCATGATCTACGAACGTAGGCAAATTGACGAAATTGTGATGCATAACAGATTCCCTGGGCTAAACGAAAATGAAAAACTCTGGTGTAGGAGAAGCGTTGCAAACAACTCATCAGGTCTGGCCGACGACTTTACAATGGGAGAATGGAACAACTTCAAGAGGAAAAATGAGGCGCTAATAGTTAAAGCTATTGATAAGATCTTCAGGAATGGATCCATACCTAAAGAATTGAAAATCAGTGGCGGAACGAGACTCCCGAAACCTGATGGGTCTTTTAGACTAATCAGAACACAATCACACTTAATGAAACTGGTAGACAAACTACTCCTTAAACGCATCACGGAAGACACATTAAGTCTAATTGATATTGATAGCCAATTCGCCTACCTCGAGAAGAAAAACAGAGAAGGTGCGTGGCAAAAAGTCCTGAGCTGGATACTAAGTGGATCAACTGTCCAAATAATGGATGTGGCGAAAGCATTTGATCAAGTCTCAAGGAGAGTAATAATCGCAAGACTATCAATGACTAATATAAGTGCTCAGAACTTAGCACTCGTAACAAGTTTCCTAACCGATCGACAAACCAGATTAATGATGAATAATGAATACACACTAATCGAGGACAGTGAGGGCACACCACAAGGTACATCGCTAGGCCCATGCCTATTTAATGTTGCAATGGGGAAGGTCATCTACGAAATGAAAAGGAAAGGCTTAGAGCTAATATCCTACGCGGATGACTTATTCATTAGATTACCACCCGATGGTATGAACTTTATAGAACCACTTACGGAATCACTACAGAGCATTAACCTAAAGCTGAACGATAAAAAAACCTGGAGCACCGATGAGAAAAGACTGAGTAAACCAACAAACAAGGATATGAAAAAGATACTGGGGTTTAAAATCTGTCCACCAACATACTCTGAACAATTCAATATGCCGAAAGAACTCAAAATAAAACAAGAAGAATCAATGAGACTTTGCCAACTTGAAACGAAAGTGATAAACAGAATAATCACTACCAAATTAAATAACGTGTTGGATCATTGGCTACCCTTATACTGGTACAAGAAACAAAACTTTAATCTGAACATGAAAAGATTAATGATGCTAAGCCGAAAACGAATAATAAATGAGATCATCAGACTCAGAATTTCCAACTGGTGGTGCAGATTACTCAATTTATACAATCCGACTGCTTGCTTCATCTACCGGTGCGATAACTTAATAGAAAATAATATGCTTGACCACTTCCCTATGTTTAAAAGTCTAAGACACTACTGGAAAACTGATGAACTCATAGAATCGGGCATTCATGAACTTCACGTAGACCTGGAAATGGATTCTGAAATCACCCTTACGCTAATAGACAATGGGATCATCTGCGAGAGAATAAGTGACAATCTTGAAAGTCATATACACTGGAAACTAACACACGAACTGGAATCCAAAAGATTACTGATTCAATCATACCTAGCCGCAAAGTCACTAACTCAAAGGACCAAGATTAAAATATGCAAACGACATCGACAAACAATAATGAATATACGAACCAGTAAGGATACGAAAGAGAAGATACTCTGGCTCTTTGTTAAACAGGACTGCGTCTGTCACATTGACAACGAAACCGAAACGCGCGAGCTCAAGCCTGCGCCTAAAACCCTGACTGAAAAGTGCAAAATCATTACAAATCTCCTTAATGAATGGGAGTGGAAAACCTTTAAGGAAGAAGCCCCATCCTACTTAAAACTCATTGGCAGACGAAACTCACCTCCAAAAAGACTACCCTTGAGATTACTTAGACTGTTACAACGTTGGAAGATAATGGGAAGAAAGGACTCATTGATAAAAGACATAATGCTAAATCACTCTAAAGACTGGTCCTGGTGGGACATAAACAAATGCTTATATGAAATGACGAACTCTCTTGTAAACTACTCAAAAAATATCTTAGGCGAAACGCCAAGATAAAAGTGTTAACTCACTAACAATGTGGTAGTAAGTACCACATACCTAAAATCTCATTTGATTTAATTTTTTTCGTTCGATTTTTTTTTCTACCTCATCCTTATCATCATCCCCTTTTATCATCATTGATTTGTTATCGTCTCACCTTCCTTATCTTCCTCTTTATCATCGTCATCTTCCGTTATCCGTGTTAACCTTTTTGATAAACTTTTCTTCATCTTCAATGTAACTTTCACCTTCGTTTATTTTTTGTTTTAAATTTCAATTTTCATTTAATTTTTTTTTCTTCTGTTTTTACTTACATTAAATTGTGATGACTGGATTAACTGTAATCAAATATCATCCTGTTATCATCATTATCCTTTAAGTGTCCTTTGACTTGAGACTTGTTATCATCCTCATCACTTTTCATCTTCCATCATCTTTTATTTTTCCCCATTGACTTTGTTATTTTGTCTCGATTTTTATTTTCTCTTGTTAATTTGATTACTCTCATCATCATCAACACCTCATCCACCACTTGTTGATTATCATCATCTTCCTCATCCTATTGTTTTTACCTAACCTCAGATGATAAATATCATCACCTAATCATCATCTTCATCCTCATCCTCATCACCCTGGCAAGTTTACAATTATAATTTTCAACCTCATTACTTAATCAGTAAAACAAAAAACTTAAAACCAAATTAAACTTTAAACGGTTTCTCATTATTTATGAAACCAAATTAGTTAAATCATTATCTTAATCAGTTCATCAACCATAGTGCCTTAATCATAACAATTTAATTTAAACCAAATCAATCAATAAGAAAACAAGAAAAGTTCCAACAATCAAATGATATTGAAATGATCAACTCAATGATGATAACAACAATTGTCATTCTTGGTAAGTAACAATTATAATCGACAAAAAAAAATCAAAAACAATTAACTAATTGTAATCCTTTTCTCTCTCTCAATCGACCTGTCAACATGATTTAATGATGAATAATGAAACTGAATCATAAATGAAACAATTTAATCTTGATTATCATTTGGCCCACACTGAAAATGTTAACCTACGACAATGAAATCACAAAAACCTACAACAATTTAATGGCAATTTAATGATTATTGTAAACAAATACACAATCATATTAATCATAATCAATTGTCCTTGATTTCAACAACAATTAACCAATTGTTAACCTGATAAAGGATTAACAAGCTTAATCGCTGTTGACCAGATTGATGGAGCTCAAATAATATCATTCAATGTGACATCTCCCGTTGAAAATGGCACTTCGTCCGTAATCTTGGATTGTAATTTCATTTTTGACCCATCGGAGGAAAATCTTGTCATGAAATGGTCAGTAATCTTTACTCATCATTACCACAATTAACTTTAATCACGTTAATCAAGAAAAAAAAGTAAACAGATCAACAATGAAAAACGCTCATATCATTACCGCTCAAATGGTTAACCATTAACAACCACAGCTAATAATCATTATCATCAAAAGTAATGCAACAGTTTATCAGGTAAACTTTTAGTTAGCTAATTTGATATAAAGTAAAAAAAAAATGATGATAACTATTATCACATTGTCATCGTCATCATCATCATCATTATCATTATGTCCTAACAATTAATCATCATTACCTGAGTAGTTTCCTAGGTATTTACCTGATGATGATAATTTAAGGTAAAAAAAGTTTACTTTGATTTTTTTCATATCAACACTTTTTTGCTACTACTTCAGTTGATTATTGTTACTGTTGATGATTATGATGATAAGTGTCCTCCTAATCATCATTATCATCATGATACTCATCTATTGTTGGTCATGATGATAACAATCCTAGGGTGGAGATGATGATTATATCCTCTTTCCTCCTGTTTGATTATTATTACGCCTCTTTCATTATTATCATCATCACACTTTATCATCATCCTTTTCCCTCTCATCCCTATTAATGCCTTCACTGACCTCACCTTTTAATCACAACCATCATCATCATCATCATCATCATCACCATTCAGCTGGATGACCGATGCTACGACAACGACTAACTGTTTACAGGAAGATAAATGATGATGAAGAAGAAAAAACTGTTTGTTTGTGTTAATTTTTTTTTCTATTCTTCGTTTTCGAAATTTCAAAAAATTCGTTTCTCTAGAAAAAGATGAGAGGATGAGAGAAGTTTCATCTTCCGGTTGACCCTTTCCCTATTTCTCATCATCGTTTGTCTCTCTTTATCTTCCTCTCTGTATGTTTTGTTTGTCTCTTCATCAGTTGTCATCCATTATCTTCCCAAGCTAATTATCATCTTTTGTTTTCTCCATCATCTTCATCCTTACCAGTTAGACTGATTATCACCATTTAAACTGGTTGATAACAACATCAATCTTTGTGATGATGATGATGATGATGCCCACCCAAATCTGAAGCATCCTCATCATCTTGATACCATTTAGAGTAATGGAAGAGATTTAAAAAATATTATTTTTTACTAATATTTGAATGACAAGGGAGATTTTAACTTCTCTCTCTCTCTCTCTCCTCCTCCCACTTTGAAACTAACCTCCGGTGTTAATCTTGATTGAGAGGATTTAATGATTATCTCCATCATTGAGATAATTGTGATTCCTAAATTTGAATCTTTGATCCATAAGAAGATGAAATTAACTCTGAATTTCATCCGCATCACCTTTTTTTTCAGTTAATCTTTTTGATTCTTAGGGTCAAACTCATCAATCTAATCATGATGATGATCAACTCTGATTCTTGATTAGTTTTTGCTCAGAAAAAAATTCATCATCATCATGATCATTAATATGATGATTTTGATAGGCTATTAATACACTTTAATGATAATGATAACAATTAACAAGTTATAAGATTTATATATAAATCATTGAATTGATTGATCAATAACAGAAACAAAAATTGATCAACAATCAGGTTAATTTGGTAAAATCAAAGGTAACAATTAAAAGAAAAATTTTTCCAACATAATCAACTTACAAATCAATTGTTAATAGTAAATTGTTAATCAGTAATCAAAGAGCAATATAAAAGTTAATCAGAAAATGCTTAACCAATAATCAACAAATCAATGAAATATAATCAATCATAATCAATAATTTGAAACACTCAACACAAAGATAGCAATTAAAATGACCAATCCCTTTTAATTATCAATTGACAATTAATTGTTGTTATAAATTTCATCATCACAATCAAACACAATATAATCAATCAAATAAAACAATTTATGAATAAACAATTAACTAATAACAATTTAGGTTAAATAACAAATGAATACATAATCGATAACAGTGATCAATGAGATTGTAACAATAACAACAATTAAATTTGATTGTTGTGATACTTTTTTTTCAATGAAAGGATAATGTTAACCAACAACAATACAAGAATATGAATTGATTAGTGAGATCAAGCAACAATTAACTAATTACAATTAAGTTGAAAAACTATTGAACAACAAAAAAAAAGGATTTACAGTCTCATGTTTATCTTTAATTGTTGATCATGTTAATTTTATCAAATTTCATATTGTATAATTATGGTGATAACAATTAGGAGTAGGAAATATTATTTAATTGTGAAGAAGTTTTTTTTTTCACTTGAAATATCATTCAGATTTAGTTCTCATGATGAATAATATCATCATCGCCTCAGGGTATAAGTTTGAAATTGCATAAAGTAATTACCACTAGTAGGGAGAGACAAAAGATGATGATGATTATGATGATGGGGTGGATGATAAGGAAGACGACATTTCCTTTTCTCTTTCTTCAAAGTTTGTTGTTGGTGTGAAAATGTTATCAAACTATTATCATGTTAACTATTTCAATGAGAAACTGAATCATGAATTGAGGTGAAAAAAAGTTTTTTGTTTCTTGTTTGTTGACGATAATTATATTATCATCAGTTGACAGTTATCATCATCATCATCGTCATTTTGATGCTTGTTTAGTGTAATTTTGTAGGGTGGGAGGGGAGGTGGTGGTGGTGGTGGTTTGTTATTCAGAGAGGGTGGAAGGTGATTGTTGACTTGAAGATGAGAATTTTTTTTCTTGTTTCAATTAAATTCTGTGAACTTGAATTTCCATTCAGTTTTTATTCACAATTGTGAATGAATATTTTTCATCATAATGATGTTTATGATTAGGAAGAGAATAAGTTTTCACTTTCTCATTTGTGTTGTGATTATCATTTGATAAGATGATGAGAATCGTGTGTCGCAATTGTTTGGGTGTGTGATCATCATGGAGATAAAATAACATTTTTGACTCTTTAATTTGTGTAACCTTAGACTCTGTTGGATATTTTTACCTTTAGGGCAAAGGTATTGGATATAATTACAGGTATATTTTCAGAAAGAAATGTATATAAGTGAGGAGGAGTGCTTGTTGCAGCCAAGGAGGTGGCGGTGGTGTAGGAGGAGATGCTAAGGTGAGGTGGTAAAATTACACTCGAGTGTAATTTGACTTTTTTTGTAGTTGGATTGGATTGATTGTCTTTGACTTTTTCTAATGAATATTGAAGATTACAGTTTGTTGGGTTCCTTTTGGGTTGTGAAGATGAAGAAGAGTGAAAGAGGATGCAATTTTCGAATACATGATCTCTCTTTCTTTCTTCTGTCTGTCATCTTCATCTCTCTCTAAACTCTTTGTAAAAGTCAACCGAGTATTCAGGTTGGTTCATTTCGTGAATTGAGATTATCAATTGAGCATCATGTTAGAACAGAATTGAGGATTAATACAATTTGGAAATTCGACTAATCTCTTTCTTGTATTTATCTTCTCTCTCTCTCTCTCTCTCTCTCTCTTCTTTACTCATCTTCTTCACCTTCATTTGACTCTTATATTTCAATTATATGTTATCATGAATCTTTTGCCAACAAGAACAAGGTTGGATCAAGACCTGAGGAAGAAAATGAAAAAAGAAACAAAAATAAGAAAGAAAATTTTTCTTCTTTTAACTCTTTCTTCATTATCCCATGTCATTCTCTCATTATACTCTTTCATCATCATCATCATCAACGGATGAGAAACTTAACAAGCTCAAAATTGGCTCAACTTTCAATTTTGATAAAAAAGTTCTAACGAACAGAGAGAAAGAGACTGAGAGAGAAAGATAGAGAGTGAGCTAAGAAAAACTATTAATGATATATAACTATTAGGATGATAAAAGGATGAAGATAATCGACCTAATTTTGATGGATGACAGTTTGATTGAACAGGTTGATTAATTGACAAGGTAAACTAAATCAGCTGATGATCAGAATGTCAAAAATTACCTGAAAACCCAAAACTTTCAACCAAATTTAATTTTCATTTCAAACTCCTACTCAAATCTTCAAATTTGTAACCACAATTATCACCATTAACTCAATCAATGATTGAACCGCAATTAAATCAATAGTAATTAAATTGTGTTATAAAAAAACTGATTATTGCTCATCATTTATCATTCTGGGTTGTTAATTAGTCTCAACAATCAATTATAAGTTTATCACCTCGTGGTGATCAAGCATTAATTAGTTAATTGTAATTTTAATCGTGAGCATTTCTAGTTAACAACTTGTTCACAATTTAAAAGTTTGTCTTCATTAATCAAATTTAACTAAATCAAAATTGAGATCAACTTTTCAGACAAATAGTATTTCAATCAGACTATTGATCTTAGCAATTAAGTTAATGATTTTGATTACGAATTTAATTATCCAGAATCAATTTAATACCTCAAGGTATCAGCAATTAAGATTAGTTAACCAAGTGAATTAAGATAATCATGTAATAATTAACGATAAATTCAAAGCAATTTTAAATTGTTCAAGATAAAACAACCCACAACTACATCACAATCAACTAATTTGATTATTATCATCAAAGTAAATTTTTGATTAAGTTAATTGTGATAAAATTTTTCAATTCACCAATCAAGTTAATGATAACAAGAGTAACAATTTATGTATCAAAAATTAATCAGCAATCGTATCAACGATAATTATAAAGTAGAAATGTTTAATCACCTTGGTTGATTAGTTAATTGTTTACCAATTTAATTTTCTGATTGTCTCAACAATTAACTAGTGATAATGATGAGATAATTTTCCTACTCTCATGGCAATAATTTCCTATCATTATATTAATAATGATGAAGAAAAGTTCTGAATAAAAATTGAGATTCTCCCATGGGAAAGTCAATGATTCAGAAGTAAATTGAAACTACAAAATATAAATAACAACAATCAAGAAGATGATCATGATGATCCTTTTGTTTATCATCATTTCCACCCACACTAATAGCCCTCAGGCAATATCATTGGAAACTTATGTATACCCTGAACTTGTTGGATTTTTTTTCCATGAAAATGAAGAAGAAAAAAACTTTTCCTCTTTTCCATCAACTATTAATGGTTGAATCTATTAAGATGATTTTCTTTCATATCAATTGTAGTTGAACTTTATTTTCCCTCTGAAATTCATGACGATGTTGATGATTTTTCATCATGAAAATGATGAACTTGTGTGAGTTTCAATAGTAAACGTTAAGAAATTGAAATGAATCTTTGATGGGGAAAAGGAAACAGTTTTTTTAAATGAGAAGGCAAAAAAGATTCATCATCATGAATATCTAATCATATTTTTTTTCCTTAATTCCTTTTAGCTAGTAAATTGTTTCCAAGTATTTCCAGCAAATTTTCATGAAGAATCAGAGTGCTCATCAATAATTGAATTCATTTCAAGATTGAATAATTTACTCCCCATGAATATCATGATATCTTATTACCTCTGAACTAATATACTTCTGAATACCTGGAAGTTTTGAAATGGAAGGAAAAATTTCCTTAAACAATTAGCAATAAGGATCAATCGATTTCAACTGAATAATCAACTGAATCATGAGAATCAACAACTTTAATTGTCAATTAAAAGTTTCCAAGTTATGAATGAAATCCTGATAATGAACTAGTAGCTCTCACTTGATGATAATCATTACTGAATAGGTATCATGTTACCATGAATCTCATGAACCAGAATAGTAAACAAATAACATTGGTGTTGAATTTAATTAATTCATAATTAATAACCTTCATCACCCACACAAACCTAATGGTTAATATGGTTAATTAACATGAATGAATTACCAAAAAGTGGTGATGATCAACTTGATGATTAACTTTGAGATTCAAATAATCACCAACCAGTGATTAGTTGATATTAATAGTTAGTTAATTTCGTTAATCATAATCTGAGTTAATTGTTGACACGGAAAAAGTTGCAAATTTCATTTCAGATGAAAGGAAAATTTGATTCGATAAAAGTTTCGATAAACTTGAACTAAGAGGAAGGAAAAAGTTTTCGAATGTCGAATCAAATTAGAATACAATTAATTAATTCAATTAGCTGTTTGTTATTAATTGTTGAACCTTGAATAGTTAAATACACTCACTCGTACAGTTGAACAATTAACTAATGAGTGGGTGTTGATTAACAAAAAAGAGAAGAAAACAAAAACAAATTATCGAAAGAAAAAAAGTTCTGAAAAGTTTTTTTTTTCTTCTTCTTCTTCATCTCGATTGATTAATGATAACAATTAATTCACATGATAGACTGAAATTTATCATGATAATATATTGATTGTAATGATATTGTTAATCAAATTGTAAAACTCAAGTCAATTACAATTAATTGTTTAATAAGGTTTGGCTTTACACAATATTGTTATCATTTAAAACTTGTAATACTTTTAGTTAATTGTTACCGTAACAAATTATAATTAAGTAGTCCGTTAATAGTAATCGTAACTAAATTTAAATTGTGAGTAGGATTTTAATCATGATAATATTAAATCATAATTTAATGTGTTAATAAATTGCGTTACCTGTTCATGATTAAGGGTTGGGTGTTATGATTAACCTTTAACATTGTTTAAACATCAATGGTCAGTTTATCATAACAATTGAAATTTAATCAACATTTGAATTTAATAAAACAACAAACCTCAACTAATTCAATTAACTATATTAATTCAGTTAACTTTGAGCAATTAATTTAATAGCAATGATTCAAGTCAAGATTGTAATGTTGTTGTTGTTGATGCCGAAATGTTTGCGGTTTCTGATTAAACCTAATCATTAATAGAGTTAATTGTTGAGCTTAATTTACTCAATTTCTTGAGTTGTAATTAATTTGTAATATTTTTAATTGTTCGTCTTATTTTTCCAGGTACTTTAATGATAATCCGAGGCCAGTTTATCAATGGATTATCGCGTTGAAGAAGCGGTCATATTCAGAGGAGATTCGTCGACACATTGACCCTGATTTCACAATTAACAATCAACAAACTGACCATCGGGCAATCAGGTTAATTAAACCAACAACTAAACTATCGGGTACCTACAAATGTATTGTATCATCAATACAAAACACAGATTCAGCCAGTGCAAAGTTAATTGTTTATGGTAAGTGTTTAGTTGATTATCTGATGATTTTTATATTAATAACAATAATTTGTTTCTTTAATTTCATCTAATTGTTCAGCTCCTGCTAAATCATTTAATTTCAAAGCTCACAATGAATCAACTGTCCTTTGTAAAGCAACTGGACTTTATCCTAGTCCAGTGATTGACCTTTACCGTTTAGTTGATACAACAAACAGTAATAATAATCATCATCATGATGTAATCAATCAACCAGGATCAACAATGAATGATGATCATGTTAATCATCACTCATCATCATCGATGACCAATAAAATGTTGACCAATAGTAACCATAGTAATCGTGTTAAAATAACCTCTGAAGGTTACACTGTAACTACAGGTGAAGCAGGTAAATTTAGTATTGAATCAATTGGTTCAATTGGAGGGTCATCATCAACTGACCATCACATGTTACCTGATGAACAAGGAAATAATGATGTCAATTATGAGTCAGGATCGATTAGTTATCAATGTGTAATCTCAATTCCAGACACAAACTACAGTCTAACAAAAACGTTAACACTGACCAAAGGTAAGTTGTTGACCATTGAACCTAAAATTTAATATTCAATTCAATCAAACATTCAAATTTTCATTCAAAATTATCAATATCAAATACGAGTCATGATGATTATCCCATTGTAGTTTAATTTACCTCCCACTCAGCCCATTTTTCATCCTCATCTTCACCTTATATGGATGAAATTTCTCATCATCACCAATCATCTTGTTCATGTTAATGAATTTCAAATATTTTCTATTAGCTATTTCCTCCTCCCACTCTTACTCCCATCTTCATCTTCATCCTCATCCTCATCTTCAACTTTCTCTCTCTCTCTCTCACTCTCTATTCCTAAGTGTTAATATTATCCCTAATGATCCCTGTTAACATTAGGATTTAAATCATCTTAATAGTGATAATTATTATTCAACGATCATCATCATCATGGAAACAATTTTCCTCCTTTGCAACAAAAGCTAAGATGAAATATTAACTATAAAAAATTGAGAATTGAAATTTTATCATGAAAAAACATTAAGACATCATCAAGTTAATCACCTTGAGATGATAAAACAAAAATGTTATTAAATAATTGACAGTTGAAGCTGATGATTTAATCATCACTTAAATTGTTTACAATCAAAACAAATCACTAAAACTTTGAGAGGAAAACAAAAAAGTAGATTAAAAAATGAAGAAGATGAAGAAAAAAATGTTCTAAGTAGATAATCTTTCCTGATAATCTGCTTTATCCTCATCTTTTTGCTTATTTAAAGGTTATAAGATTTTGTCATTCTAATCATTATCATCTTAATGATAAACAAAACAAACTTACATAGAGACTTAAACTTGATAATCAACTTAATGGTAATGATGATGCAAAGAGATGAGGGAGGATGCGGAAGTTACTGTTATGATGATGATGATGAAATACTAGTTATCCTTAGACTATTTAGAATTGAGTATTTTCAATGAACTGAATTAGAACTGAACTAGTTAAGTCTATTTGTTTATCCGATGAGTAAATAGATTGACATTAGACTTCGTCATGTTTATCGTCACCATCATCATGGAAATGGAGGAAAACGAAAGTTTCATCATTAATAATTTATTGGTTACTCTTTTACACTGTTTACCGTTACTATTTGGTTGACATCAAATTCGAGCTCTGAACTTTAGAGGAGAGAAAAAGTTCTAAAAGATATTCTCAACTTCTTATCATGATTATTATTGGAGTTGGAACTTTTTTCTTCCTCGGTCTCTTCAATTGTGTTACTCTATTTTATTTGATAGCCTCGAGGTGTTGAAGTTACTTTCGAGAGAGAGAGAGAGAGAGAGAGAGAGAGAGAGAGAGAGAGAGAGAAAGTTCTGTAAGATTCTGATCTCATGATGAATTTATGATTCCATGTGGATTTCATGAGATCTACTGTAACTATTGACAAGACGATTATAATCTAAAAATGATAGAGAAAAATAAAAGGGAGAAAGAGAGTCAATAGAATCTCTTTTTTCATCACCATTCTGAGTGATACATCGTGATGATGATCAACATGATAAACGTTATTTACTCAATGATATTTGGACATAATAACAAGCAAAAAAAGGACATAAGATTTGATAGAAAAAGAGAAACAGTTTCAAATATAACGAGAGAAAGATAAAAAATGTAATATCTTGATATTAACATCGGATGAAGATGAAAATTTTCACCTTCCTGTATAATATATGATGAGGATGAAGATGAAGATGAGTAAATAATGATAAATGTAACGAGTGGCCAAGCCTCAAAACTTGGACATTACATGATAATGTAACTAATGATAAAAATGTAAGGTAACCTTGAGCTCCTTAAACCGGATGATGATGATGATCAGAAAAAGAAAGAGAAAGAGAAATGAAGAAGATGAAGAAGAAGAAGAAGATGATGATGATGATGAATATAGTCTGGGCTTTGGGCTGGGCAGTAAAAAAGGTTCGGTTCTAACTTTCTCTCTCTCTCTCTCTCCATTCGGGAATCTATTGTTAATTCAGTTTGTATTATGAATTTTTTTCCATATCCATTAATACTTATCATAGAAAGGGAGACATTATCAATAATCATTATCATCATCATCTCACTCATTCTCTATCTCCATATAATCATTCATAGTTAATTAAACCAATTTTATCAGTTGAAAGATTTGATATTCAAGTGATGAGGATGCCCGATGATAATACCGGATGAAATATGTAGATATTAGTGCTAGAACTTTTTTATTTTCACTTCCAATTCTTGACAAGATTGAAATTGAAAATTTTCCTCATCTTCATATCTTCATCTTTATCATTTCCGCTTTTTATCATCTCTCTCTCTCTCTCTCTCTCCAACTGTGTGATCCCCATGAACTGATCAGATGAAAAAACTTTTATGAACTTTGGTTTCGCCATCAATTAGATGTTAGCTTGTAATAAATACAAAAGGTGTTAGTTAACAATCAGTTTACTCTGATTACTTTAACCTCATCAAAACCATTTCCGTTTTAATTTTTTGATTATAAATTACATTTATTAATATACATTAACTCACCATTGGATCAATGTAATTGCAAACAATTTACAGAAAAATTCATGATAACAATTGAAATTTTCACCATTTCCATATTCAGGGTGATGAGATTTCCTGCTTTTTTGTGTAATACTAATACAACACTATGAATTTAGTTCTGAATGTTTTGATATCTTCATGTTGATCATGATTATTATCATGAAGTTAGTGAGATTTTTGTTACCATATTATTATTATTATTGTAACATTTGCATTTGATTTAAATTGCTTATGACAAGCATGTTGATTGTTGAACATTTTGATAAATCAATTGTTAGTCAAAAATCAGTGAATTAGATTTGAACACAAATTAACTTATCAATTGAGTTAATCAATAATAATCTTCAACATGATGTAATAATATTATCATATGTTAATCATGATAATATATTTAAATTGATGAATCAACTAATTGTAAATAATAATAATTTTCTTGGCAATAAGTTTACTTTACAATTTAAAACTGAACATGTTATGATCAACAGCAAACACAATTTAGCTAATTGTTGGAAAAGCAAAATTTAAACTTAAAAATAACGTAAATATTTTTGTTTAATTTTCTTAAATCATCATCAACAATTTACTCATTTCCAAGCTTAATTGCAAAGTTGACAGTTGACAGTTTGCACCATTGGAAAGACAGAGATTAATATTTACCAATTGATTATTACTCTGCGATAATTATTCAGTTTCAATGGTGAAATTATCATGAATTTTATTCACCATCTCAAACATATGATTCTGTTAGAGTAACGATGAATTGGAAACTGAATTCATCACCAATGAATAAAAGTTTACTCATTATTCATTCATGATCCGGTTTTTTTATTCACCCTGAAAGGAAAAAAAGTAGATGAACTATCATCACTATCGTCATGATGATTCTGGATGATAATAATCACCATGTTGTGTCCATGAAACTGTGAATTGAAATGCTTTAGTCTATTATAAACTCAATAGTTATTATCTCATTTCTGGTCACTATTTTCATCCAATCCTGAGAGTTGTTCAATTCAATGAATGTCAAATCCTTGTCATTCAGTTGATCATCTTGCTTTTGTGTTGTTGTTGTGGTGGTGATGGTGTTTGGGTGTCATCAACATGATGATAATGACAATCATCATCATCTCTATCAGTTAAAGGTTACAAAAGTAATGGAAATCAAATGAAATGATTGATTTTTTCACCATTCATCCGATTTAACCATTGAAACTTTCACCCGATTCTTGTGACATGAGGTTGAAATTTTATCTAATCCTCTGAATCCTATGAACAAAAAAACCATGAACATGATGATGATGATGATGGATATAAAAGTTAATATAATCACAACCATCAATTATCACTAATCAAAGGCAATATATTTCATGATGATTGAATCCCATGAATTTTGGGTTTGATTTTATTAAATTAAATCAATAGATTAACTTTAAAACTTGATTGCAATGACTATTAACCATAGTTAATCATTTGTAGCTTTTTTCTGATTGTAATAAATTGATTTTCAATTAACATCAAGGCAAACCCATTAGAAGATGTTTAATTTTTCATCAAATTGATTAACTCACGTCAATCAAATGATAGGCAAAGATAAACAATTACAATTAGCAAATCAATTGATAAATATTAGAGGGAAAACAAAATTTTCTGTACAAACAAATCGAAGCCATTTTTTTTTAAGGATTGGTCAGTTTATCCTCATCACTAATCTCAAGGTGAATCTTGAACATTAAAAACAACATCAACTCGCATCTCCATCATCACTTGGGTGCAAAAATATAAACTTTACCTTGATAACGATGATACCTGAAGATGAGAGGTTGTCAATTGTAAAATAAAATCCGCCTGCTACTTGATACTGACCCAATTTAAGGTCCACTCTCCCAAAGGGCCACCCAAGGTAAAAAAAAACTTGACCCATCGTCTAAATGATTGCACCTTTTGGTAAACTTTTACCTTTATAATAGTTACTTTAGAAATTTTTTTTTCTATTCTATCGAGAAAAAAAACTCTCATCTTCTCCCAGAGCTTGTATTCACTATCAATTTTCATTATCATCATCTTCCTCCTCCTCTTCATCCTCAGCATCATCATCATCATTGTGTCATCAAGTTATGATGATAACAATGATAAAAAGTACAAGTGAAACCTTTTAACCTTGCGAGATGAACATTGATTCAACTGCAATTGAATATCATTTACAATCATAATCATCACCATTAAGGTGATGGGCTTTTTTTTTAAATCAACAAGCAACAAATTTTTGCAAATGCAATCAAGATGAAGATGATAATTTTAATGCAAAACTATCAACAAAATTGATAAATGAGGCGTTGTCTTCATCTTTGCTTATGAAACTTTTTTTTCTCATACTTTGATATTGTTTAAATTGATTGCAACAATTTACCATTGATATTTTGAAAGATATGATGATGATGATGAGATATTTGCAATTGATGTGCTTTAATGTGCTATTTAAATGTAGCCAATATTATACCTTCATCGTTGTTGATTATTTTTCAAAAGATGAGGTAAATATTTTGTTAACATTGTTCCAGGTTCAATTGCAATTAAAATTTAATAGTTTATGTATTTTTCATGGGAATCAATCAAATCAATTTTCTTGTAAAAAGATAGACACACCCTGGAGGCATTGATAGAGGTTCGAGATGATGAGGTTACAAGTGATAAAGTATAAATAGTAATAATAATGCATATCAATGGTAATCCATTGATTCAGTGATTTTTTCTGTTGCATGATGTTGATGATGATGATGATGATGATGGTGTTTGAATCCAATGTCTTGATTATCTTTAGGAATAACGGTTAGAAAAGATGAGTTTTTTTCTGTGGAGAAAAAGTTAAACCTTAATTGGATCTTCAAGTCTTTTCCATGTTGAATTGAGATCTCACCTCAAGTCAACCAGAATGAGGAAGAGAAAGGAAGATGAAAATGAGATGAGGATGAGGATGAAGAGAATGAGGTTTCATGAGGAAGACGATTTTCATCTTGTTTCCAATTCTTGGGTCAAAAGAAACATTGATTCCAATGGTTTTTTTCTTCATCTTCTCCGTGATTCTTTGGTGTATAAATCACACAATTGAATGATTCCAATCAGATTAATCATTTTGTTGACATTTTCTGTTAAATACTTTACTTTGGAGAGCAAAAGAAATCAAAACAAAACAAAAAAGTTCACAAATTCATCGTCATCCCATTCATGATTACGATGATAATGGTTATCAAGAGGATAAGAGATGATAATGATAGGGAAGATAATAATAATTCTGATGAAATTTCTGTTCTTTTCTATTTCTGACTAATGCAATGAATTTTTTTCCTTTCGGTTTCTGTCAACTCGAAGAAGAAAAGTTAAGCCTTAGAACTTTTTTTCTCTTCTCCACTTTCCTTTCGAATTCGTTTTGCTAATCTGACAATTTAGTCTCATCATCATCATCTTCTTCATCATCATCATCATCATCATCAACATTCAGCTGGTGATAAAGATGAGAAAGTGTGATAAATTAGATCATCTTTTGTCTTCTCTTTCCAAAGAATCATAAATCAGAATCTATCTCTTCAGAGCTTCTGAACTTTTTCCCCTCACCTCGAAATTTTCACAGATCTAATTAAGCTATAAATTGCTGTTCAACTTGAAGATGATGGGTTATCATCATCATCACCATGATACTTTTATCATGAAACAAAAAAGTGATCACTCAAAATAACAACAACAACAACAACAGTTAATATCAATTGCAATATAATCTGTCAACCTTATTGGGATTTTTGATAATATCAAGTTAATCTGATGATACAATTGTGATTAATTAACCATTTTCAGGTTAATTGCAATCAAATTGATGATGATAATCAACAGCAATTAACACAATCAATCAACAAGTGATTTAATTCAATGTGTATTTACACAAAGTGAGCCAATTTGATACAGTTTTTTTTTCTTGCAAAAAAATTTTTAATCGGAGAATCAAGTGAAAGTTAATCAATACTTACAGAGATGATAAGATTAAGATGATTGAAGATGATGAAGATGAAGATGAAGATGATAACCATTCGTGTGTCTTACCTTCAGTTAAGTGTGTGTACTTGGAAGATGAAGATGAGGATGAAGATGATGGAGATGGAAACAAGTTAAACAAGTTACAAGGTTACTCTATGTATCTTTGGTAAATGTTACCTTGATTATTGAACTTTATTCAATGGTGATAACTATTCATTATCATACTCACCTTGAATATGATTACTTTCTGGCAACTAGATTACAATTATCTAGATGCTGATTATCATGATATTATTCATAGATTGAGATAATATCTTGAATTAGAAAATGAATTAAAAGTGTGAAAAAAAGAGGCGATGAAAAACAATATTATCGTTTTACCTTTTAATCGGATAATCATGAAGAAGATGCTAAAAAGAGGAAGAAATAGATTTTCTATCATCATCTTTATCTTCATCTTCATCTTTAAGATTGTAAATGATATCAAAATGTAATAAGAAATTAATATAAGATGCTAATCTTAAGCTTAATACTTTCCATCTTTACCTGTTAACTTTTCATTTGGCAACTTGAGAGAGGAAAGATGAAGGATAATCATCATCCTCAGGAGAAATTTAATATTAGGTGATATTTAAAATTCCTATGGAAGATTTAACATAGAAAACTTTCTTCTCTTTAACCGCCTACATCCTTTTAGGGTGAAGATGAAGATGAAGATTGAGAGATTCACCTTTGTAAAGGTAAACAAGCCTTAAAAATTTTCTTCTCTCTCACTTTTCCTCATCATCATCTTCATCCAAAGGTACAACTTGTTAATCCTTAACCTTAGGATTTATTTTCCTCTTTAGGATTAAATCATTTTTCTAATATTAAACTTATCCCATCGGAGTAATTTATGTTTGATTGGAATTGCTAATTATTCAATAATATATTCATATCTTTTATAATATCATTATATTAATTGTTTTTTAACTTATTAACAGGATGGAATCAGCAACAATCAAGGATTACTGGTAAATCATTAGCTTCGTGTATCAACAATCAAAGTGAGTACAATCAACTGATTAAATCAATGAGCATCATTATAAATGAGTTATATTCATTATTTGGATTGAAAAGTTAATCATTAGGCTTAATCACAAGTAAGAGAAGATGAAATTTATGATAATGGTCAAGATGGTCAACAGGGATGCGGAAAGTTTATATAATTGTCTTTCTTTAGGTAAAAACAAAAGATGGAAAAGTTTGTGTCATGGTTTGGTGATCATCTTCTTCATCTTTATCTTCATCAATAATTATCATCATGGAGATGAAATAATAATAAATTATTTCGAATGCAAGAAAAAAAAAGAAAACTTTTCATCTTCTCTAACAAAAGATGCAAATTAACAATCCATTGGTTTGATGAATGATAATCACAGTTAATTACAGGGTGGGATACTCTTCGTCCTCTCATCATTATCATCTTCATCTTCATCTTCATCAGCATCCTCATCCTCAGCATTATCCTTTTGATTCATTATCTTTGTGTCTTTTTTTATATTATGTACTGGAGACACTATTTTAAACTCCCTTATCATTTAATCATCATCAAGATTAACAGGCAAAAGCTGCTGTTACTTTTTAATTAATTTAATTACGATGACCTTTTGTAATTAAAAAGTTTTTTTTTCGTCCTCTCAACAATTAACTTGTATCATTATGATTGTCAATCGAGTTGATTAAATCCCTTTTGAGATGCAAAAAATGATGAGGAGATGGAGATGAAGATGAAGATGGAGAGGAGGAGGTTAAGGTGACCTCTTGGTGATGATAAATTGAAGCTCACGAATTGAGTAATACAGTTAGTGAGAAAGTGATTAACATGATGATGAGGATGAGGATGAGGATGAATGAATGAGTAACCTAGTGAACGGTAGCATCTTCCTTATCATCTCAAGTCACGTTTTATCATTTAAAACTAAGTCACGATAAAGAAACACCAAAGATTAAGATTAAAAGTTTTCTCAGATTAAAATCAAATCTCTTATATTACGATTATCATGATTATCTTCACCTTTTTCAGATTATCTTTTATCTTACAAAACGGAAGTTGACATAAGAGTTTTTTTTCTGGGTTAATCTCTGTCCAGATTAGTTTTCCGTTAATCTTTTTCCAACTCATGGAAATGTTAATCCATCTCCATAGAGATTGAGATTATCAAAGTTTTTTTTTCTCAGAAAAAAAAAGAAATTTTTTTTCATTCCATTTAATTATCTAAATTGTATCAAACTTGATAATTATAAGTTATCATTTGATAACAATTTAATGTTATCATTATGTTTAATTATCGTTAACTTTTCATCTCCATCATGATGATGATTGATTTCATTTTCAATGTTTTACTTAATTGTTACAATTAACTTTTTTATTTCTACTCCCTTTCCTCAGGTAATACAATTATATTCACACTTATATCAATTTCGTTGTGTTTACTTTTAATCAACAATTAAAACTTTGGAATCATCGAGTTATTGTGATCAACAATTAACTAAATTGTTTTCCCGTTTGAAAAACAACAAGATCAATCAAATTGAGTTGTTTAATTGTTAAATTTAATTAAAACAACGAAAAAAGAAAAGCAAAAGCCAAAGAAAACAATCAATACGAAATTAGTTGATTAACTTGGAGTTAATAACAATTAATAAATCAAATCAAATCAATTTTCTGATTGGACTGATTATCAACTAAACAATCAACTTTTGTGATCACCTTAATTGTGCTGCCTATTAATTAAGTCCAATGTTGATCAAGAACCGAAACGAACTAATAACAAAATTATCCTTTAATTGTTCAAGACTAAATCATCTGATGGTCAACCCAAACAACGACAACAATTAAACAATGTTAATAAAAAATATTCACTCTATTGTAATAATATCTTAATTGTAACAATTTGCTAATTATCAAGAAAACAAAAAAAAACATCAACGATAATAATAGTTACCATTAATTTTACACTTTTAAATAACTAAATCAATTGATTAAAATATAATTAAATTTTCAATCCCTTTCCAATTACCCAAGAAAAAGCTTAAAAATTTTAATTGTTTACTAATTATTATAAATAATTGTGATCTCAATAATTAATAAATTGTTTGAACAACAAAACAAAAACTTTTATCAAAACTTTTTTTGACGTTATTTTGTTTTAAATTACGCGCCAATTTAACAGCCAATCAAGTTAATCCAAATTTCACCAATTTAATTAACGGTGAAACAATTAAACTAACTGTCATTATTATGAATGAATTATTCAATATGATATAAAATTTGATGAGGAAGAAAATGAAAACACTAAAAGTAAACCATTACCTGAGTAGTTAAATGTTTCCTGTAGTAATTGAAACAAATGATATATTAACTATCGAGAGTCTAAATTGTTGTCACGATAAAGTTCATTAATAATCAACCTAATATATTAAATGATCAAGTGGGAGTTTAACTTTCATCAACATGATAATCAACAGATAATAATCATGATCATGAGAAGAGTAAAACTTTTACCAGGAGATATTCTGGTTCTCATTTCAATGTTGAACCTGATTTTTCAGACTCCAATCAGTTAATTGTTCATCTAATTTACAATTAACCTTGTTCTTCATGTTGATTGATTAAATTCAATGGTAATTCAATCGAACACCTTTTTTGTTTGTTTCTCTATCATCCATGTTAATTTAAAACCGTTCATTTTGATACCTTTCAATGTGATGTAATTTACATATAACTTGTATCTTTTTACACCTGATCATCCTTTTCATCATCTTCATCTTCATCTTCACCATCACCTGATACCATGATGAAATATCATCTTGCTCCTTCATCCATTTTCATGGCAATGATTAAGATGATGTGTCATCAACTTACCTGGTTAAGTATCAGTTTCCTACTTAAAGGTAAATCCAATTTAAATTGTTCCTCTTAATTTATCAACAGAATCTTAATCTTTTTTAGTTTTCATTTGATTTTCAATTCATTTTGTTTTGTTTTTTAAAGTTTAGTTTGATTTTAATTGTAATTTGATGAGAAGAAAACAAATTTCAAAGTTAATTGTTTACAAACTGCAATTGGTTGCAAACTATTGTAAACAATTTAATCCATTAGATTTGTTATTTGATTGGAGTTTTGGGTTTTAGAGGAAACTTTTTGCTAACTGTAACTTTGACAATGACAGTTTGCTTTTTGTTGGTGAAACTGTTTCAAGATGTTAATTGTTGCAAGTTAATTTAGTTTGTCCTGGTTTTTGGTTTGCAATTTAAAAAAGACATTAGCTTTCATCGTATTTAAATTGTCATCATCTCCTCTGGTTGATGCTCATCATCTTAAGCTTTTTTTCAGCTTATTGTTGTTACTGTTATTGTGGGAGGTTGAGCTGAGGAAATGAACAATATTTTTAACTGGACATGAGGATAACACATGGAGATTTGTTGAAGATGATGTTTTTTTATCTTCATCTTACAATGAGAGAGAGAGTAAAAGTTATCTTTGAAATTTGAGTACAAACAGAAATAGTAAAAGATGAGGAAGATAATAAAGAGAGAGAAAATTAGTTTGAAAAGAAAGTCATTCATTGATGAGAATGATTCACATTCGAAAATCATTTTTTTCTCATCCTTTTTTCTTCTTCTTCTTAAGAAAATAACTCATCCTTATCTCGTTCATCATCTTCACCATCTCTCGTTTCTCTTTTTTATCGGTGGTTATTTAGTTCTGACCTCACACTGACCTGACGGTTTTAAGCTCAATAGACTCAAGTTGCAAGTCTGTTCACTTTTCCCCATGATAACAGACTCAATTACGAGGACACTTATACTACTTTCAGTGGGTGGTGGTGGTGTGAGAGATGCCGAGTTACAGTTATATAGGGTGATTGGTAAAAATGTAAATGATGATGAGACGATGAAGATGAAGATGAAGATGCTAAAGATGATGATAAGAAAGAAGATGAAACTTGGCAACGTTGAAAAGATAAAACCAATGATAAAATGAAGAGATGATTGTCCTTCATGTTTACGATAACAATAAAGGACTAATTGTCTTTCCTAATAAAAACTTATCTTGAGTGGTTTCCGTTTCATATTACCAACAATTGATCATCAAGATGGCGACTGGAAAAACAAATTCAATTCTGTAAACGATAATTTCATAATTCAGGGTAAATAGATTTATATTTATTTGGATTCATCATATTTATCATCCATGAGATTTTATCCATTTCCTCATCCTCCCATTTTGCCTTTTAACCCAAAGGAAAAATGAAAACAATCAACCAATTGATTCAAATTGATTCATAACAATCATCATCATCATCATCATGATCATCAACATGATTCAATGATTTCCTTTGAAATAATAGTAATAACAATTTCAGATTAGCTGAGCGATGATTAATCTAATGCTGAATCTACCATTGGAACCATGAACACCATGTAGATGATAAAAAGTAACCATTCAATTCATTTCTCTTGGGACATTGGAATCATAATCATGAAATGAATTCAAATTGAACCGAGAAAAAATTGTTGATCCTTTTTTTGGTTTAATCTTAATCCCTTAGGCGTTTTTGTTTACCGATTGTTGTTTAATCCAATTTGATATTTATTTAAACGGTAAATTGATTGTTAATAAACTTTTCTATTCCAATTTAATTTAAATACTATTTTCAATTACGTGCTAGGAAATTTAAATCACTTATTATTAATACAATTACGATTAGGATAATACATGTAACATTGTAACTTTTTTATTCTGAAAAAAAACCAAACTTTTGATTTGTTTTCCTTGTATTAACTTAATCATTTACAATTAAAACTTTGTGATATTATTTGTGTTTGTTTTAAAAGCAATTAGTTGATTGTCAGTTTTACACCTACAGAGGTAAATTGTAATCAATTAATTTACACCGAAATCAAATTAACTTCTCAAAAAGGTGATAATCAAAGTGAAATCTCAATGTGGGTTATTGGTAACACTGAGAGTGATAAAGTGATGAGGATGAGGATGAGGATGGAGATGAAGATGAGAATAAAAAATTATACTAATAATTATGTGAGCAATTGAATCGTTTGCAACCTTGACCATGTAAAGAAGATAAATTATCATCGATTAATCATCTTTGTCCAGTCATCCACCCCATCATCATCATCATCAAATGTCTTTGGAAGATGTTAAAAGATTTCAAGATGAGGATGAAGATGAAAAAAATATTTTCTTTTCTCTTCCATGTTAACACTTAATTGGAATCATGTTTACCTCAAACAAGTTCAATCTTCATCTTTTGATGAAGATTAAGAGACGGTAGCGAACGTTTTTTTCTTCATTTATCTTCTTTACCTTTTTTAGTATTACATTTAATATCATCCTCATCATCTTCATCACCAACACTGACCAAGTAATTAGTCTTAGTCAAACTTGATTAGAAAAGTGATCAGAATCAACCAAATGATGAATTTGACTGTTTTTCCTTTCATTTGAAACCCACAGAAAAAACTTTCATCTTCATCATCATCGAAATCTGAGTTAAAAGTTACTAACCCATCATCATCTTTATCATCATCATCTCTCTCTCTCTCTCTCTCTCTCTCTCTCTTCATTAATTCTTACATCATTTTGCTCCTTCTCATCGTCATCTTCATTCAAAAACAATCAGCAAATACCATAGTGAATGATGATGATGGTGTAGATGATGAGGCAAAGATGAGAATGAGAAAAGGCCAAAGATAAAGATGCTGACGATTATGGTGGAAGATCAAAAGAGAGAATGGAAAGAACGAAAATATTAACTGCTCTCATCTTCTTTCTCGGAAGATGAGAATTCCTAATGTTAAAATTTCGAATCTTTTCGGTTATCATCTTCTCTCTCCCTCTCTTTGTCTTCTCTTTTCGCTTTACTCATCAACTCTTCATCCTCTATCATCTTTGCCTCCATCACTTTAACCAGAAGATCCAATATCATATTACCCATTGAACATCATCCTGTTTTCATCTTTATCACTGTAAAGAAACAAAAATGCCAAATGAAAACCTTTCACTTCAATTTCTTATTCTTGCATTTTTGCATCTTCATCCCTCATCCTTCCTCCTCCTCCTTCAACCATCATCATCCCAAGCGTAAATGTTTGATGCTATTGTTGACCAAAAGATGATGATGATGATAATGATGAAGATCTCTCTCTCTCTCTCTCTCTCTCTCTCTCTCTCTCTCTCAGATAAACAGACAAACAAACAGATATTACATTTTATCCCGCCCTTTACTGTTTACAACTGCTTCTGAAAGTGATGAGGATAAAATGATGAAACTGAAACAAAAATGCACTCAAAGATTCAACTAAGATACCAAGATGATGATAATCATCATCTTCCCAAACCCTATAACAGAAAATCACTAATATCGAAAGCCCGAAATGATCTATACATTTAAACCGTGAGATCGTTTTTTCCCATGTCCCATTATGATTACATCGCCATTTACAAAGATCATCTTGAAGCCAGAGACACTTCTGGTCACTTCCGATGGTCAACAGATGACATAACTACTCCAATCACCACCATTACCAATCTTGACGTCTCTCTCTTCCTCTTCCTCAGATTTATATTATCATCATAGTGGTCAATGTCTACGATTGGTCAGCGTCTCTGTACCTTACATGGCATTTACTGGATCGGATGTTTCAATGAACTGTTCATATGACTCAGAAAATGATACAATCTACTCATTGAAATGGTATCACAATGAAACTGAATTCATCTCATATCGACCATCAGATCTAATCAATGTCCTCCGTGTCTATGAACTACCTGGTATAGCAGTGGACATGGACAATTTGACCGATGTTAAATTCATTGAATTGGTCAATCTTGACCATCAATCATCTGGACACTACAAGTGTGAAATTATTGCTGAAACAACATTTCAAACTGATTCAGATTCTGGTTACTTAAAGATTATCGGTAAGTTTAAATAGTTGAAACAATTAAAATGAAACCTCAAACAATTACCCTAATTGTTACATTTAAATGGCTAATTAACTAAGATGCAGATTATTTAAAAGTAAATTGTTTCAAATTTTGTTTTTCTTTTCTGGTTAATTTAATTCACTTTATCAATGTTTACATTTACATGGTACATTTAATTGTTGCAATAATAGTTAATCCTTGAAACGAAAACATTTGATAACAATCAACAATTAACTGTCTTGGTTAATCCTGGTCAACTATCTATGAAATTTAATCACAACAATTAACTAAATGTGGCACCAATCCAGAAATTAACCTTAAACAAATCAAATTAAATTTAGTTTTCTCCTTCAATTAACTTTTAAATTGTCCTACAATTACCAAGATTTATCCAATTGATTAAGGAAGGGGAAAAAAGATTCCCAAATTGAATCAATTGTATTTATATGTATACAATTAACAATTAAATTGCTGGAAGTTAATCAACAATCAAATTGCTCACAATAAAAAGTAATCATAATATTAAGATGATAATTTGATTGAGTAAATTTAGTTTTTTTTTATTGTTACACTTTTATCAGTCAATCAATTGATATCATGAAGATGAGGTCAGTTTTTAGTTCATTAAATAACTGACCATCATCATCATCATCATCAGGAGACCATGAAAAAAAACCATTGAATGGATGATAAAGAAAGAGGAAGATGAAGATGAAGATGATAATTGAATGAGATCAATTTAACAATTTTTTTTCCAATAAAAGCTAAGGTATTTTCGGTTATCCTTAACTAATTGCAATTAACTAACAGATGATGAAGATGATGAGGATGCTGATGATGATTGACTTACTCCTACATCTTCCCTACACTTCCACAGTTCCTGTTATTTGTATTGTTGTCATCAATTAATTACCTTTACCTGAACCTCAGAATCTTCCTCATCCTTAGTAAATGATTTCTTTTTTTTCCTCAATCATTGGAAATCATTGATTGAAAACTATTTAATTTAACAATCAACCCTTGATTGTGATCATTTAGCTTATCCATATGTTGGTAATAATAAAAATCCAATCAGTTTAATCCGTAATTATTGTATTAGTTTGATTAACTTTTTAAATTCTCAATCCCAATTAAATAAAGTCAAGTTCAAATCTAAACAGTTTGTCTAATTATTTAATAATAATATTGATTAATAACAATAAATTGTTTGTATTAATATTATTGACCTGATTGTAATTGTTTAACTATCATGGTGATCATAAATCAGGCCTGTAGGTAAAAGTTAATTGTTGGTGATTAGTTTTTGTAGTATTTTTTTTAGGTTTGGTTAACAATTTATGTGAATCAATTTTCAAAACGGAACCAGGAAAGGTCATTAAGATTGACCTACCCACCCACACACGAGTATGATGATGATTAAATTGGTAACAATTAAGTTAAATCATAACTTTAATTAACAAGAGTATTAATGATAAGTCTTGATTTCTGTTATTTATCTGGTTTTAAATCAAGTTGATCATTAATTTAATCCAGTTCGAGACAAAGTAGCTTTTGATGTTTCTTCAATCCAATTGATTACGAAATGATGATGTAAGATGATAAGATGATGATAAGAGAAGATAATCTTTCAAAAGTTTATCTTTTTTTTTCTTCTTTCGATTTGTTTTCATTCATCAAATGTACAGTTACGTTTTTCTTTTAGGTTTTCGTTTCGAGGTGACATTTAAGATCTCAAACTATTCAATGATTTAAACGTTAAGTGGATGATGAACGAAGAGAAAAAGATAAACTTTTATCATCAGAACTTTTTAGAAGCATCAATTTTTCAGAACTTTTGTCTTCCCCTTCCTCTTAGAACTTTGTTTTTTAAGAGTTCGAGGGAAAATTTTCCACCATGAAAAGATTTCATTGTCTTCCACCAATGTGAACCCATGGAACAACGTAAAAGCAAAAGTATATTATCTCTCTCTCTCTCTCTCAATGATATTATTCAGCTTTACACAAGAATGCTCTTCTCTCTCTCTCCCACCGCCATCACTTTTATCTTCATCTTAATCATCATCTTCATCCATTCTCATTAAAAGCAATGAAAGTGACTCGCAAAGATCAGACAAACTTGAAGATCTTTTTTTTTTATCAAGATAGAGATGGAAGATAAATGCTCCAAACAAGGAGATTATATTCATTCACCACCATCACCACCCTCTTCTTTCACCCACAGACCAACAGATACACTGAACACTCACACGGAATAAAAAAATCCAGAATATAAATAAACCAGATCAAAGAGAATGAGAAAAAAATTTAAAAGTTCTGGTTCTTGAGGAGAAAAAAAGTTTCCTCAGAGGAAAAATTATTCCCACTGTTGACCTGATCACCTTAGCACCAAAAACAAAGATGAATCTTATCATCACCATCAAGAATATCATCATCATCATACCTGGTTTATTTTTCCTTTGACGTTCCAATGGTTTGTCTAATTTTAAAGATTTTCATCTTTTTCTTTGTTAAATCAAATTGAGCCAAACGACAATCATTAAGAGAGAGAGAGAGAGAGAGAGAGAGATTTTCCACCTCCACCGCCTTTCATACTCCCACCGAGGGCAGATAAATAATTCCATACATCTAATGACAGGTTTCAATATTTCAACAATCTAAACCTCCTCCATCATCACTATCATCATTATCATCAGCAAAGTCTCCTTGTTGTTTATCTTACACTGGAAAAGGGAACGAGTCAATAGAAAATGGTTCCTTTGATGATAATGATGATGGAGGATGATGATAGCTGCAATTGAGCATCAAATTTGTTGAAACTAGGTGAAGATTATCATCATTTCCACCCTCCACTTACCTCCTTCCCTTGTTTACTTTCACTTTTACTCTCTCATTTTTAAAATTCGAAAAAAATTCCTCTTCTCCCACCTTCTAATCATCACCCACTTCTTAACCTGGTCTTTGTCTTGAAATGCACCATTAGTTTCACTCTCTCTCTCTCTCAGCTCTTGTTTACCGTTACGCTTCATGAGCCCTTAGGGTAACATTGGAACCTCCACCCATCTCGATGTGTATTATTAACTCAGGTAGATACAAGAAGGTGAAATCTTCTAATTTAATAAAACTTTCAAAAGAAAAGATGAAAAAAAAAGTTCTAACCTCTAATCTAATTGTAATCATTAAACTCGATAAAAATTAAAGTTCTAGAACTCAACAACTCATTGGTTCCTTTCATTAACTCTCACTAATCACATTAGTAATATTTGTAGATTATCCTAATTACCTCAATCATCTTAAGCATTAGATAAACTTGGTTAATCATTTTGACAAACAATTAGATTATTTCAATTGAATTTTCTAATTGTTGTTGATGGAAAAACCTTCTCAACGCCATCTATTGATTACAACTTTGGGTTAGAACTTTTTTTTTTCATTCTCTTTCAAATGTTTCCATTAAAATCGTCACCACGTATTATTAATTATTCAAAGCACGTTCATGATCAATTGTCTAACTAATTTACATAGATTGTATTTAGATGAATCATCAAATTGTTTAGATTGAATAATCTTTTCAATCTATTAAATGAATATGATTTTAATTCTGATTGATAGTTGATTAGTCATTGTGATTGTTATATTTATAATCCTAATTGTATTAGTTAAGATTAATTGTCATGATTGAGTTAAATTTAACTTTTAGATTCTTAAATCTTTAATCATCGTCACAATTTAAATGATTAACTTAATTGTTATTCGGACGATAGTTTAACTGTTGATCAATAGAGTTGAGAAAAGTTTTTTTTTCAAATGTTCAGTTAATTGAAATGGTGATTATTTCAGAGCAATTGATTTAGTGTTAAATTGTTTCATTAATTAGTGTTTGGAGAAAGAGAGAGAGACAGAGAGTTGATGATGATTATCATCATGTTCATAAATATATCATCACCATAGGGATGAGGATGAAGATGAGAAGAAGAAAAAAAGTTTTCTCTTCGATATAAATAGTCTGATTTATGTTTTATCATCATGATTAAAGTTAATTGTAATTAAGGAAATAAGCTTAATGATGGATTACCTGAGAGACCTTATCTCCATCTTCTTGATGATGAAGATGAGACAAAACAAATCGATTATTTTTTTTCTTCTTTTTCTTTTTTCAGACTCATTAATGAATTAGGTGTAAATATGATGTACTTTAAATGTTTGGAATCATTTAAATAATTAACTGATCAAGTGGAGGTAAATTTTCACACTTAAATTTGGTTATGGTCAAAATTAGAATCACAAATTCATTAGATGATTAGATGAATTAATTGGATGATAAGATGAAGTGAAAAACAATGAAAAGGAATCACTTTGAATGAATTGGAATCAGAATTGGAAATTAAGTTGATGTTCAATTGGAACATGAGATTTGAATACCAAGGGAGATGATGGAAGATAGAAGTGGGTGGTAGATGATGAGGATGAGGAAGAGAAGGTGGAAATTATTGAGAGAGAAATTGAATAGAAGAGAAAAAGAGAAGAAAAAAAACATTCGAAATGACATGAGTTCCATTCTATTCATTTGGTTTTCTATTCTTTGGCAGAATCAACTTGAAATTAACCCAACATAACGGTAACAATTATCATCATCATAACAACAACAATCAAAGGTTGTAAATTATTATCCTAAAACTAATTGAGTTGGTGGTTCGAGTAACAATCAACTGATTGACATGATCAGGATACATGATGATAATATAACATGAAATGATTACGATTACGATTCTGAAACTACTCCTATGAAAAACCAATACAAATAAACTTGAATTAATGGTAACAATTATTTTCCTCGCGTTTATCAGAGTTTATTGTTAATTGTTCCACTTTGATTAGAGCTATTAATTGTAATTTATCTGGAAATTGATTTTATGATAGTAACAATTTAACTCCACAATCATCTTGAAACACACTCAGGCCAAGAAAGTTAATTGTTGTTGCGAGTTTACTTACTA